CACTGATAGACAGTGACCACAATAGAGGGGGTGAGAACTTGATAATATGGGTGAATGTTGAAACCAGTGTTGTTTATGTAAAACCATCATAAGATTATATCAATGATACTTTAGATAAATAAATGTTACCAATTGACCCCCCCCCAAAAAATAACATTATTACCAAGCAAAACAGAAGGAACAAGAGTAATAGACTCAAACACTGAGAAGTGACTGAGGGTTACCATGGGGGAGGGGTTGTGGTGGGTAGGTGTGGAGGGTGAGGGGGATAAAGGGGCACAAAAATTCTCAACATAATATAAATTGGTCACAGGGATGGCAGTACAGCATGGAGAATATACTCAATAATTTTGTAACATCTTCCTATGTTGACAGTTAGTAACTGCACTAGCGGGGGTGAAGATTTAATAATATGGGTGACTGCTGAACTACTGTGTTCTATATTTGAACCTGAGGACCAACATAATTTTGAGTTTGGCAAGGGCGAAAGATCATGAAGGTCGGAATGGGGAATATGTGAGTAATGACGGGGAGTGGGAGGTACAAAGAGGTCTAGGAATGTGGTCTTACCCGGGGTGACAAGGCCCCAGCTGAGGACCCTGGGCGGTGAGGAGGAGGAGGTGTGACTAGGAGGAAAGGGGGTGCTGAAACATGGTATAGTCTGTTGCTAAAGGTGCTCATTTTCCAAACCCTCTAAGGCAGCTTCAGCTTGCTGTAAACCTTTGAACCATTGCACCGCATGTGCACATTTTTCTTACTCTGCAAGAAGGAAAGTGATAACGTGGGGGGTTAAAACACCCACAGATTATGAGAAATGAGTTGTCTCTGTCCTGTGTTAGTATCTGGTGAAGAGGACTGTTAGAGACAACCTATTGGTTGAACTAATGTTCTCCCTCACAAGAATGGGGAGCAGAAAATTGCAGCCACCAGATGCAGAACAGGGCACAGCCACATATTCTCATTTCACAGTTGTCCCGCACATGTCGTAGCTCTGGTCCAGGCCCAGCTGGTGTGCCCAGTTACAGGGCAGGGGGCCACCAAGAGCATAAATGCAGACCTCATGAGGATGCCCAAACCAGTTCATGAACCAAGTATTTCCTGGCCTGAGATCACACGCTGGGACAGGAGGTGGGTTAACTCTAAGGGCAGGGGCTTTCGTTGGGCACTCTCAGTGGTTCCCAAACCTGGCATCATCTCCAAAGTTTGTTTTAAAAAGTAGACTCCTTAATTCATAGCCCTTAAAAAACTGCTAAATCAGAACTCACAGGTGTCTGGGAATCTGCTTTTCTGGTAAATAAACCACCCAGGTATTGTTGATGACCAACCATATTTGGGAATGATGGCTTTTCTCATTGAAACTCCTTTGTAATTTTACAAAGGTTACTCATAGTCCCATTTTATAGATGAGAAAGCTGAGGCTCGTGAACAGCCTGAGCTTGGTTGGTCACCAAAACGTCCACCATACTTACAGCAAAGAACTGTTCCTGGCACTCAGTGTCATGCCCACTAACTAACTACTCATTAAGAGTCACTTTCCTTAGAAGACTGCTCACATGCACATTTTTGAGGGAGGCAGCAAGTTCTGGCACAGTCTCTCTCTCTCAGAACTCCCTCTTCCTCACCCCCATTCTGGGAGCTAATGATGCTCCTGGCCTCCTGAGATTTGGAGATCCTACATTCTCCCACATCACCTAAGCCTTCCTCCCTCAGGAACGGGGTGTTTATAATCAGTGTAGGTTAGTGGGCAGCAGTGGAAGAAGGTAAACCTGCTACACCCTCCCAGAGAGTTGCCTATCCTCTTGCCTGACAATGAACAATTCATTACCCCTCAAATGCCCCCAGCCACCTGCCACCTTCTCCATGAAGCTCATGTAGTAAACACTTCTGCTTATAAAGCAAATTGCTCATATGAAATAATTCATTCTACCTTAAAAAAATATATCTACAATTGCCAACCAGTGCATCCATAAATGTGAAATAACTAGTCTGGATGCAGTTCCTTCTGAAAGGAAGAACTACTTTTCTGGAAGTTTGTGCACCCTGACTGTGGCTAAATGTACATTTTCCTTTAAGCTCCTTAAAATAAAGAAATTGCAGAAAATAAAGAATGGCTGGGTTTTTTTTGTAGGATTCTAATGGTGAAAATTCATACACTAGAGGGAGGGCTTTTTCACGTGCTCCAGACCTTTGACCCAGTAACAGCCAGGCATTGTGACAGGCATCAGATTTCTGCCCTGCATTAGCCATAAAAGGTTCTGGGCAAGACAGTGTAGATGGCACCTTCAGGGTTAAAAACACAGCATTCAGATTGTTCAGATCTGTTCTCTGTTGAAGGAAAAGAGGGAGAGAAATAACAGGGACTCCTACATGCTAGGAGATCCTCAAATTGTAGTGTTCACTACAAACACCTGGGAGCTTGTACTAAATTGTATTCCCAGCTCCAGCTCCCAGAGATGCCAATTCTCCAGTCTGAGCTGGGGCCTCACATTCTGCATTTTCATCAAGTACCTCGGATGATTCTGATACAGGTTTTTCTCTTACTTTCTATTTCAAAAATTTTCAGACTTTAGCGAAGTTCCAAGAAGAGTATAATGAATACCACCAGTATACCCTTCACCCAAGATCAAGGGTCAGCAGACTTCTTCAGTTAGAGAACACAGTAAATATTTTCAGCTTTGTAGGCCACATCATCCCTGGGGCAATGACTCAAGTCTGCCACTGCCATATGTAAGCCAACTAGCTTGACTGTCCTCCAGTGACAGTTTATTTATGGACACCAGAATTTAAATTTCCCATCATAAAATAATACTCTCTTGTTTTGACTTTTTCCAATGTTATATTTAAATATGTAAAAATCATTGTTAGCTCAAGATTGGCACCAAAACAGCCAGAGGGACAAGTTTGGCATACCTTTCCCAGCCCGATGGATCAATTGCGATCATAAAGCCTAAGCTTTCCTGTGGATGAAATTAAAATTTGTTACTGTTTTTCAAATCCAGATTAATCACATTGCCCACCTTAAGAAAATTTAAAAACTTATTTATGAAGCTGCTATCTAACCCACTCTCTGCTTTATTTTCAGATATAATTAACATCTTCACATTTTCCTATGGCTGATATTTCTGGATGCCCTATGGGGCAGTTCCTCATTTAGAAATCTTCAGTCAGTCATTCTCTAATTTTATCACATAAAAATTAAGTGTGTGTGCCTTTTTCCACAAAACCAAGGCCTAATTCACATCCTTTTTTCAGCTTCTCTCATAATGAAGAAATGTGAATCAAAAACCCTCTACCTTCCAAGTGACTCCATTAGTCCAGCAGCATGTGAACAGAATTATTATTTGTAAGCAAGGGACTGGGGATGCCTCTCCTTGATTTTCTTCCTCCCTGACCTCTTGTAGGAAAATAATTCCAGCCCAGATTGCTCACCTTTCTTGCAGACTGGATTACTGACAAGATCATGACCAGCAGTCACAAAACAACTCCTGGTACCCAATTACTCCTATCCAGTCTTCACCTCTATGGGAATCTCTCAAGTTATTAAACAAGGTTTTTATTAAAGTATTTGAAAACCAAACAGTTCTGGAGGAGAAACTCAACTCTTCATGGAGAAATCAACAAACACTGTCACAATGGGATCTAAGTACTTACCCAAGGAGGAAAGACCGAAAAAACACATCAACTAAGCAGAGTCTCACTTACTGAAATGCCTTTCAACTGGGCTTACTTATCCAAACCTTTGTGCACCGCTTAAGAAACACCTGGTTATCAGGAGCATCTAAGCCTCTATCATCTCACAGCCTACCAATGCTCCAAACAAAGTAATCTATTTAATGGCAAGAGGATGTGTTCTTTTCTGATGAAGCTACAGAACAGAGGAATCATAAATCCACCCTGCCTCACCCCCAGGTCCAACAGTTTAGCAGCCACTCTGGAGTCATTTTCCATGAGACCTTGTGTCAGCCTTTCATCTCCTCATTAGCACGCCCTTCCAACCTGGGAAGATAATATAAAGCATGCTGGCTCAAATGGAGAGGCAGGAATCTCCCAGTAAAGACTTAAAACCTGAGTCTGTCGACATATGAGAAGGCCCTGTGTTTCTCATCAGCTGGCCAATTTGTGGACGGCCCCATTTCTGGAGCTTGGCCAACTGCCTCACCTGATGGAAAATGCTTACGACCTTATAAATCACCTTTGAATTAATTTTCTTAGTAGAAATAAAACAGACTGCTAGCTCCCAATTGCCTGCAACTTACCTATCGGCTTAGATGACGAATTTAACAATTTGAGATAATTCAAGACTAAAAACAGTATTTAAAGGTTTTGTGAAAAGGATGAGCTGAAAGTGTATTGTTTTAGAGCCTAGATTGCTAGTGTCTGTGGCATTTACCATGTTGTTTTTTTTTTACCCCATGTATTCAAACTCATTTTCTATGATACGGTAATACAATGTCTTGAAACTTGCAGTTATAAACTCAGGAATAAATACTAAGTTGGCATACAAAAAAAAAAGTTCTATGAAAAGGAGACAATAGGAAAATGCTTTGTTTAGGGCTGGGAGTTCTGTAATATGGTAATAACACATGAAAATAATAGATAAATGTAATTTTGTTTTAGTCACAACAAAATAGAAACTGAAGTTCAACAGTGGGCCTATCACATTAGTGCAGTGGTTCCTAATCTGGGTGCATGTCAGAATCACTCAGGGAGCTTTAAAAAGCCCAAAGCCCACGCTGCTTCCCACACCAATTAAATCTGAATATAGGGGTTGGGGTGGGGCCCAGGCCTCTATTTTTTTTTTTAAAGCTCGCAAACAATTCCAATAGGTAGGCAAGGTTGAAAACCTCTGCACTGTAGTATGTGACACTTGCCCTCTGAAGCTTAGTCTTCCCAAATCTACTTGGTAACCAGTGTCCCTTCCTCATTTCTGCCAATAACTTCTTTACAGCTGGAATCTGGAATCAGTAATAACAGACTGAGTCACACACATACACAAAAAATACATGCACACATATTTTATTCAACTTAGGCCCTGATTATTAGCATATAAATCAGAAAAACTGAGTGCCTTAGAACTTACATATCCTCTCCAAATCTTTAAAGAACCAAACTCTAAGAACACACATGAAAGATATTTAAGTCATAGAAAACACAACACAAACAAACTTTAATCACCTTCAGGAACCATGATCCAATAATATCTTTAATAGGTTAAGATCTCATTCATCAGTATACAAAAAAAAAAAAATTCCTAAACTTTGATTAAGACATGTGCCCTTAGCAAGAGCACTTACAGTAAGAAAGGTTTACTGGTAGCAATTTGAGGTAGCATATTTTGTAAAGTAATAGAAGTCACAGAGCCGTTCTGCAGTTTCTCCAGGACATCAAAGGACAGGCTATCAGCCTCTGCTCTTGGAAGAGGAAAGTGAATGTGTCTGTACTCACTGGCAAGTCAGTCTGAACTCACCTCCTACCATCTTGCTGTGGCCATCAGTTCACACACTGTGGGTTTAGGAAAAAGACCAGAGCATTTTGATGCTTCTCTGTTCTTGGTGTGGTGACATTCTAGGCTGTGGAGCCAATCTCTTTTTGCTACAGGTAATCTCACTGGCAAGAGATACATGCACCCAGTGAGAAGGGAAATAGGGTGTCATAGTGCCTTTTTAAATTGGCTCTTAGCAATTGAATTAATTAAGAGTAACCGATTCCTCTAAGGCTATAAAGGTCGTTTCTGAATATTTCTTCCATGACTGCCCCTTCACAGGTTCTCCCTTTTTTCTCCCCCTGAGTACACTACTTTGGGGTAACATTAAGCTTTCTGCAATTTCCTGGTAAGATGGTGAGCAGAGAAAGTTTTGAAAAATCCACACACAGAAACAACAAAACCTGGCTGCAGGAGGAAACTCAAGAACAGACTTCCTTTGTGCAAGTTGAAATGACACAAGTTTACAGTTCAGGAAAATGGCCTTCTTCTTTTTACAAAAATGTAAATATTCAGTTCAGCTCTGCAATTTTAAATACAAATATACTGTCAAAACAGGCTAAGGATTAAAGCTTCAAAAATGATCCCAACAACCTCAGACCTTAGTGCAGGCCAAGTTTTTGCCCAAGGGTCACAGATTAAAGGGATATCTAATCTCTAAAAGCCCTTTTGTCCCCAAATATGTCCGGTTAGAAAGTTAAACCCTTAGAAGGAATCAGTATACAAATGAATAGAAATAGCACATGTCCAGGCCAAAAAGGGCATGAGCTGGGCCTGAGTTGCCACTTAAAACTGTTATTCAGTATCACAAATCCTCAAAAGGCTGCCTGGGTCCAGATCCCAAAGCATCACTGGACATGCCAGCCACCCAAGTCAACTGCCGACCCACAGCTCATGACAACAGAGCATCGGATTTCAAGTATCCAGGGCGCTTTGAGAGCTGGGCCTCTCAGGACGCAGGCTGACCCTCAGAAGCCCGCACTCTACCCCGCAACAACCCATTATACAATAAAGTGAACCTCTGCTTATGGTCACTAGAAAACCTGGGCAGGTGAGGAATAAGAGAAATGCTCTCCACATATACCAGCCTAACAAATACAAATAAATTCTTGAACATTTTGTACAACTAGAAGGTGCATGAGCTGGTAATTTAAGCAACCACTTTAAACTCTTCTCTTCCCTTTCTGTATCAAACAGGAAAATGGTTCCATTGGGTTAACAGTGTCATTTTAAAATGCCATAAATTAAATAAGTTAGTTCACATTTTTTTTCCCCCAGCACTTAAGTTATAGTCAGTCTCTAATGTCCTTTTGAAGTTTGCTTTAACAGCTCCAGGTCTCTTCTGCGGACAGAGCCTGCCCTCTGGCAACCATACTCATCCAGCTGCAAAGGTATGAACTGTTCAAGTAGCCCGAGACCCTGTCCAGCAGGACTGGTAAACAGCTTAGTCCACGATGGTTTGAAGTTTCCACTAAATCCCGAAAACACAATACTCCCTAAAACACACACACAAAAAAAAACAGTAACAACAAAAGCTCATTTTGTATATCTACTAGTTACAGGCAAGAAATGTGGGAGGCAAATTAGAGATAAAACAAAGATGGCTGCAAAACAAAAACAAAAAAAACTACACTTCCTTAGGTCAGTGAATAAATAAACTCTTACCACCCACCTCTGGCCCCAAATAACAAACTACATCCCAGCACACTTCCCCTAACAGTATCTTCTTATTTAGGAATTATCTTAATGATACCCACTCCAGTAAAACAAGCCCCTGAGAATGGCCTGGTAGTTACATTCCACCACAAAAATGCACCTGCTGCTGATCTCACAGAATAACGCAAATACAGATTAAAGATGGCGGTGTGAGAGGTGAGACAGAGGCCTCCTCCTAAAACTGCATATATGAAAATATAATTAATACAACTAATCCTGAAAGAGCAACAGGAAACAGGGCTGCGCCAGACTGCATACACCTGGAGAAAAGAGCAGACCTCACGGAACACAGTAATGTACCAAAGCTATGGCCCGGTGGGACCCAAGCCCCTCCCCGACCCCAGCTCACCAGCAGGAGGAAGAGAAATAGAGCATGGAGGGAGTGGAAGGCTTGGGACTGCTGAATACCTAACTCCACAGATCTGCTCTGGGAGCACAAACCTACATTTCATGGTGCTTTCATGATACTCTCGTGATTGGGGGGCTGGAAAGCTAAGACAGGCAGAATACCTGGAGAGATTGAGATTCCAGCCCACTTGTGGAAAGCAGGGATCCATATCCGGCTGCTCTGGGACAAAAGAGAGGCGAGCAGTCTGAGATACTTCCTAACAAGAAAGCCCTTAGAAAGAGGGCTGCTAAAGGGGCAAGGATTGCACAGAGCTTAATGCTCAGGAGAAAGGACAGGTAGACATAATTGTCTGGGTGCACTCTGTCCAGCAGGTTGGAAGCTTTCATGATTTCCAGATGCTCCAGCTCCCTGGCTGGCTGCACAGCTCCAAGGACCCCCGCTGTGATAGGCAGCCTACTGTGCCTTTCTCCCGGCCAGCCTCACCTGGCTCGCAAACTGGCAAATCCTACCCTGGCGTTAGGCCAGCCAGAGGGAAGATCTGTCTACAGCAACTACAAATGCAAAGCATAGAGGCTTACACCTGTGTGCTCAGCCCACTGGTTCAGGCAGTGGAGATAGGCATAGAGGCTGGGAAGCAGGAAACAGCTCTTTCCTTCCCCCAGGCACCAATACTACTCCCCTGTGACTGCGGACATTGCTTCAGAGGATGCGCAGCTCCAAAGAGTAGAGCTTCTGGACACTAGATGGTGCCATATACAAATATGAAATGCCAAATGAAACTGGTTGAGAGTAAAATTATTATTTCACTCCTGAGAAAGATGACATGGACCACCTCATGACTCTTCCTGAAAGGGAGTTCAAAATAAAAATCATTAACATGCTAATGGAGATACAGAAAGATATTCAAGAACTCAGGAATGAATTCTGGTCAGAGATCCAATTGTTGAATAGCACAATGGAAGGTATTAAAAGCGATTAGATAGAAACTAGAGAAGAGGAATACAAAGAAGCTGAGGCACAGAGAGTAAAAAGGATATCTAAGAATGAAAGACTATTGAGAGAACTGTGTGACCAATCCAAATGGAACAATATTTGTATTATAAGGGTACCAGAAGAAGAAGAAGAGAGAAAAAGAGATAGAAAGTGTCTTTGAGGGAGTAATTGGTGAAAACTTCCCCAATCTGGGGAAGGAGATAGTCTCTCAGGCCATGGAGATGCACAGATCTCCCAAAATAAGGAACCCAAGGAAGACAACACCAAGACATATAATATTAAAATGGCAAAGATAAAGGACAAGGACAGACTATTAAAAGCAGCCAGAGAGAGAAATAAGATCACATACAAAGGAAAGCCCATCAAGCTAACATCAGACCTCTCAGCAGAAACCTTACAGGCCAGAAGGGAGTGACATGATGTATTTAATGCAATTAAGCAGAAGGGTCTGGAACCAAGATTACTTTATCTGGCAAGATTATCATTTAAATTTGAAGGAGGGATTAAACAATTTCCAGATAAGCAAAAGCTGAGAGAATTTCCTCCCACAAACTATCTCTACAATCTATTTTGGAGGGACTCCTATAAATGGAAGTGTTCCTAAGGTTTAATAGCTGTCACCAAAGGAATTAAAACCACAGTAAAGAAAGTAGAACAGCTAATTACTAATCAAATGCTAAATTAAATTAACTATCCCCAAAGTCAATAAGGGATAGACAAAGTACAGAATATGATACCTAATATATAAAGAATATATAGGAAGAAAAAGGAGGAGCAAAAGAAAAGAACCCTTAGATTGTGTTTGTAATAGCATATTAAGTGAGTTAATTTAGACTTAGATAGTAACGAAGTTAACCTTGAACCTTTGGTAACCACGAATCTAAAGCCTGCAATGGCAATAAGTACATCAAAAAGATCATCCATCATGATCAAGTAGGATTTATTCCAGGGATGCAAGGTTGGTACAACATTCAAAAATCCATCATCAACCACCACATCAACAAAAAGAAGGACAAAAACCACATGATCATCTCCATAGACACTGAAAAAGCATTTGACAAAATTCAACAACCATTCATGATAAAAACTCTCAACAAAATCAGTATAGAGGGCAAGTACTCAACATATAAAGGCCATATATGACAAACCCACAGCCAACATCATACTTAACAGCAAGAAGCTGAAAGGTTTTCCTTTAAGATTGGGAACAAGACAAGGATGCCTACTTTCCCCACTTCTATTCAACATAGTAATGGAAGTTCTAGCCACGGCAATCAGACAACACAAAGAAATAAAAGGCATCCAGATTGGCAAGGAAGAAGTTAAACTATCCTTGTTTCCAGGTGACATGATATTGTACATAAAAAACCCTAAAGAATCCACTCCAAAACTACTAGATCTACTATACAAAATTAATACACAGAAATCTGTGGCATTCCTATAGACTAACAATGAACTAGCAGAGAGAGAAATCAGGAAAACAATTGCATCAAAAAGAATAAAACACCTAGGAATAAACCTAACCAAGAAAGTGAAAGACCTATTCTCTGAAAACTACAAGACACTCATGAGAGAAACTGAAGAAGATACCAATAAATGGAAACATATCCCATGCTCATGGATAGGAAGATTTAATATTGTCAAAATGGTCATCCTGCCTAGAGCAATCTACAGATTCAATGCAATCCCTATCCAAATACCAACAGCATTCTTCAAGGAACTAGAGAAAATCATCCTATAACTCATATGGAATCACAAAAGACCTCAAATAGTCAAAGCAATCCTGAGAAGGAAGAATAAAGCTGGGGGAATTATGCTCCCCAACTTCAAGCTGTATTACATAGCCACAGTAATCAAGACAGTTTGGTACTGGCACAAGAACAGAACCACAGACCAATAGAACAGACTAGAGAGCCCTGAAATAAACCCAAACATACATGGTCAATTAATATATGATAAAGGAGCCATGGACATACAATGGGAAAATGACAGCCTTTTCAACAGCTGGTGTTGACGAAACTGGACAGCTATATGCAAAAGAATGAACTGGATTATTGTTTCACCCCATACACAAAAGTAAACTTGAAATGGATTAAAGACTTGAATGTAAGTCATGAAACCGTAAAACTCTTAGAAGAAAACATAGATAAACATCTCCTGAATATAAGCATGAGCAACTTCTTCCTGACTGCGTCTCCTTGAGAAAGGGAAACAAAAGCAAAAATGAATACATGGGACTATATCAAACTAAAAAGTTTCTGTATAGCAAAGGACACCATCAACATAACAAAAAGACATCCTACAGTATGGGAGAATATATTTGTAAATGACATATCTGATAAAGGGTTAACCTACAAAATATATAAAGAACTTACATGCATCAATACCCAAAAAGCAAATACCCGATTAACAAATGGGCAGAGGATATGAAGAAAGTTCTCCAAAGAAGAAATTCAGATGGCCAACAGACACATAAAAAGATGCTCCACATCACTAATCATCAGGGAAATGCAAATAAAAGCCACAATGATATATCACCTCACACCAGTAAGGATGGCCAGCATTGAAAAGACTAAGAACAACAAATGCTGGCGAGGATGCGGAGAAAGGGGAACCCTCCTATACTGCTGGTGGGAATGTAAGCTAGTTCAACCATTGTGGAAAGCAATATGGAGGTTCCTCAAAAAACTAAAAATAGAAATGCCATTTCACCTGGGAATCCCACTCCTTGGAATTTACCCAAAGAGTACAACTTCTCAGATTCAAAAAAACATATGCACCCCTATGTTTATTGCAGCACTTTTTACAATAGCCAAGAATTGGAAGCAACCTAAGTGTCCATCAGTAGATGAATGGATAACGAAGATGTGGTACATATACACAATGGAATATTATTCAGCCATAAGAAGAAAACAAATCCTACCATTTGCAACAACATGGATGGAGCTAGAGGGTATTATGCTCAGTGAAATAAGCCAAGCAGGGAAAGAGAAATACCAAATGATTTCACTCATTTGTGGAGTATAACAATGAAGCAAAACTGAAGGAACAAAATGGCAGCAGACTCACAGACTCAAAGAATGAACTAGTGGTTACCAAAGGGGAGGGGTGTGGGAGGGCAGGTGGGGAGGGAGGGAGAAGGGGATTGAGGGGTATTATGTTTAGTACACATGGTGTGGGAGATCACAGGAAAACAATGTAGCACAGAGAAAGCACATAGTGAATTGGTGGTGTCTTTCTGCACCAATGGGGACTTGATAGTATGGGTAAATGTACTGACCACATTGTTTTTTCATGTGAAACCTTCATAAGAGTGTATATCTATCATACCTTAATAAAAAATAAAAATAAATTTAAAAAAGTGTAACACAAATACAAACCTTTGTTATCAAGATAAGCTGGTTTGGCTAATCCCAGAGGTACTAATGAATCTGAAATATTCAACTGCTTTATTTCTCCTCTTGTGATCAATAGAACAATTGACCTGTATGTAAAGATTAGAAAATCAGAGCAAATTTCAATAGGTTAGCATATATGAATTGAGTACCTTTTCGAACTTAATACAGCACAGAAATACAAGATAAAAGCAAGACTCAAAAGGAGAAGAAAAAAAGTTTTTCAACCCGGCTATTATCAGTTACCACACCTCGGCTCCACCCAGACCTTATGTGGCTGTTACAAGAAGTCCCTAAATATATGGAAACCAAAGGTCATTCAGGTCAGCTGACACTGAGGACTGTTTGGGATGCAGTTCTTTCATGGAATAACTGGTAGAGGTTGTTGGTTTTCCTCGTTTCAGATGCTCTATTTACTTACATTCTATTATCTATTTATTAAATAAGTGGATAAACACCAATTCTAAAAAGAAATAAAATCTGTCCCCTGTGGTTTGTTTTAAATTGCCACCTTTGGTACGTAATCTATAATACATATACTTAGATCTGTGTGTGGATTCTTGATTCTCCAGATCTCTCTTCTCTGCCAATACTATGAAGATTTCAAGGTTTATTTTAGCATCTGATAAAATAGGCCTCTTATATTGTTCACAACATTTATTACTTTCCCCCATTTATTCTTCCAGATGAACTTCAGTATAAACTATCAAGAACAATAGAAAAGTAAGCTACTGGAACATTAATCGAAATATGTTACATTTGTATCTTAATTTAGGTAGAGTGACATCTTCATAATATTAATTTCCCACCCAGGAACAGGGAGAATCTCTCCTTTTATTCAACCCTTGTATATCCTTTAGTAAAGTATTTATTTATTAAGGTAGCAATATATTTATTTAGTAAAGTATTTATTTTCTTAATATAGTAAAGTATTTCTTGACATTTCTTATTAGGATTCTTAAGTTTTAGGTAGGCATAAGATTCTTTGTTGTAGTCTTTCTAAAGCAGTAGTGTCAGAATTACTCAGGATAGTCCAGTGAGATCACTTACAAGTCCCTAGTCTCCCACTCCCATCTCCACATGCACCCAAGTGTCTCCCTAGATGTCACTGCGAGTTGCCCCATAACTTCTTAACACTTAAAAATACAACCTACAGAAAGAACAGTACTCCTAAAAGTATAGCACATAGAATTTTTGCAAACTCAACATACTTAACCACATGAAGAAGCAAAAGCTTTCCTTTGTCTCCATTCTAGAAACAACCTAGTGACTTTTTAGTAAGTTGGTTTTAACTCTTAAATCTATATGGTAACTTGCAGGACTATACCTCAATATCGTGGTGAGATTTATGCCCTGGATGGTTTTAGATGGAATTAGTGAGTGCATATGTTTTCAACATTAGGACAAATCTTCCAATCCTTTAAGAAAACTGAGGTCTTGGAAAAGAATTTCCTGCAAGTGTCTTAAACCAGGAGACAGAGATATATGTACACATTGACTGTTACATTCAAATAATGCAATGACTTTATGGATTTATTGAGATCTGGTTTTGTATTTTTGCAAAGACCATGTAAGGGGGGAGATGATTCAAAAGCTAAACAACTTTTCTCCCTGGGAAGCTTAAGTACTTTCCTAAGTGGCTTCACTTAATGAAAGCCTGTTTGTAAATCAATGTCTGCAGCACAGCCAAGAGGGCACACAAAGGAGCCTGAATCCATCTCCTCGCCTCCAGGTCTATGTGAGCCACCCACAAACAGGAAGGTTTTGCATATTGGGTTCTTCTTCAGAGACCAATAAGGAAAAACTAATCAGACTAAGAAACTCATCTACTTAAAAATCAATTTACTCCTTTCTAGTCACTTCTAAGTGACCCCAGTGATAACTTCATATGTTATACGCTGTCCTAGAGTTCTTCTCAAGTGGGACAGATGGTGGGGAAGGTAACGTTGTCTACAAAATTGCTTTAAAATGGTAATGTGCCTTCTGAGCCAATTGGGTGCACCATGGATCAACTAAATAAATAGTAAAAACTGGGATAGTAATGTTCCAAAATACTGAGCTTTTCTCGTAAGGACCTTCCCACCACTTACAAACTCTTCTAACATTCAAGCTTTCACTTATCAATGATAAACAGTTCAGACCACAGGGGCATTGAGCTGAGATGGGGAAGAAACAAACACCTTTCAAGAGCCCTAAATGCCCTCAGTAAAAGGATGGATAAACAAACCAAAGCTCAAAGTAACGCAGGTGTCCACTTTAAGGTGGCTTGTGCCTCTTACAGAGCAAGCTGCACCTACCTTGGAGGAATGCCTGTTTTTAAATGCGCCTCCATACGGCTGACATCAGCAAGAGAGAAAACCTTTTTTTCTGTCAACCGGAAGGGAACACTGCAGGCATCCACGACGAGGAGGAGGGCACCTATACTTCGGAAGGTAAAATCAGTGCCATTGACCTGAGAATACAAAAATGTTTTCTGCTGTCATCTCATTTCAATAACCCCAGAATGACCCATCTTTCCAAACCCTTCCCACTGTTTTTTAAACCCATGAATCAGATTTTATTTCCAGGATTCAAACCGCATATTCCATTTACTCTTTTTCTGCCAACACGGTGCCCGTGTTCTCATCGACTTTGCCTTGGCTGGTCTTGGCTTACTGGATGAGATGCTCTGAGCAAGGTGTGGCAGCCTGCTCTCAACTGTGCAGTATGACTCCTGCAGGTGGAAAGCCTTCATTTTTTTTTAATTGAAGTATCATTGACATATAATCTTAAATTGGTTCCAAATATACAACACAGCAGTTCAACAGTTACCCATATTAGTAAATCTCATCCCCACTAGTGCAGTTCCTATCTGTCAACATAGGAAGATGTTACAGAATCACCGAGTATACTCTGCATGCTGTACTACTATCCCCGTGGAAGGCCTTCATTTCTTACGCATACTCTCTCTCATCAGGGCCAAAGCATTCTAACTCAGGGATCAGGCACCAGCCTCTGTACTGCAGCTCCCATAGCTCACACTGCCACATTGGTTCAGAAAAAAAATCATGCCTTAACCCACATAACCCCCCCATTAGAGTTTAGGTTGGGGACATAGAGAAGCCAGACTGCCTCATCTTCCTTGTTCCACACAGAGCAATCCCAGAGGTACTAATGAATCTGAAATATTCAACTGCTTTATTTCTCCTCTTGTGATCAATAGAACAATTGACCTGTATGTAAAGATTAGAAAATCAGAGCAAATTTCAATAGGTTAGCATATATGAATTGAGTACCTTTTCGAACTTAATACAGCACAGAAATACAAGATAAAAGCAAGACTCAAAAGGAGAAGAAAAAAAGTTTTTCAACCCGGCTATTATCAGTTACCACACCTCGGCTCCACCCAGACCTTATGTGGCTGTTACAAGAAGTCCCTAAATATATGGAAACCAAAGGTCATTCAGGTCAGCTGACACTGAGGACTGTTTGGGATGCAGTTCTTTCATGGAATAACTGGTAGAGGTTGTTGGTTTTCCTCGTTTCAGATGCTCTATTTACTTACATTCTATTATCTATTTATTAAATAAGTGGATAAACACCAATTCTAAAAAGAAATAAAATCTGTCCCCTGTGGTTTGTTTTAAATTGCCACCTTTGGTACGTAATCTATAATACATATACTTAGATCTGTGTGTGGATTCTTGATTCTCCAGATCTCTCTTCTCTGCCAATACTATGAAGATTTCAAGGTTTATTTTAGCATCTGATAAAATAGGCCTCTTATATTGTTCACAACATTTATTACTTTCCCCCATTTATTCTTCCAGATGAACTTCAGTATAAACTATCAAGAACAATAGAAAAGTAAGCTACTGGAACATTAATCAAAATATGTTACATTTGTATCTTAATTTAGGTAGAGTGACATCTTCATAATATTAATTTCCCACCCAGGAACAGGGAGAATCTCTCCTTTTATTCAACCCTTGTATATCCTTTAGTAAAGTATTTATTTATTAAGGTAGCAATATATTTATTTAGTAAAGTATTTATTTTCTTAATATAGTAAAGTATTTCTTGACATTTCTTATTAGGATTCTTAAGTTTTAGGTAGGCATAAGATTCTTTGTTGTAGTCTTTCTAAAGCAGTAGTGTCAGAATTACTCAGGATAGTCCAGTGAGATCACTTACAAGTCCCTAGTCTCCCACTCCCATCTCCACATGCACCCAAGTGTCTCCCTAGATGTCACTGCGAGTTGCCCCATAACTTCTTAACACTTAAAAATACAACCTACAGAAAGAACAGTACTCCTAAAAGTATAGCACATAGAATTTTTGCAAACTCAACATACTTAACCACATGAAGAAGCAAAAGCTTTCCTTTGTCTCCATTCTAGAAACAACCTAGTGACTTTTTAGTAAGTTGGTTTTAACTCTTAAATCTATATGGTAACTTGCAGGACTATACCTCAATATCGTGGTGAGATTTATGCCCTGGATGGTTTTAGATGGAATTAGTGAGTGCATATGTTTTCAACATTAGGACAAATCTTCCAATCCTTTAAGAAAACTGAGGTCTTGGAAAAGAATTTCCTGCAAGTGTCTTAAACCAGGAGACAGAGATATATGTACACATTGACTGTTACATTCAAATAATGCAATGACTTTATGGATTTATTGAGATCTGGTTTTGTATTTTTGCAAAGACCATGTAAGGGGGGAGATGAATCAAAAGCTAAACAACTTTTCTCCCTGGGAAGCTTAAGTACTTTCCTAAGTGGCTTCACTTAATGAAAGCCTGTTTGTAAATCAATGTCTGCAGCACAGCCAAGAGGGCACACAAAGGAGCCTGAATCCATCTCCTCGCCTCCAGGTCTATGTGAGCCACCCACAAACAGGAAGGTTTTGCATATTGGGTTCTTCTTCAGAGACCAATAAGGAAAAACTAATCAGACTAAGAAACTCATCTACTTAAAAATCAATTTACTCCTTTCTAGTCACTTCTAAGTGACCCCAGTGATAACTTCATATGTTATACGCTGTCCTAGAGTTCTTCTCAAGTGGGACAGATGGTGGGGAAGGTAACGTTGTCTACAAAATTGCTTTAAAATGGTAATGTGCCTTCTGAGCCAATTGGGTGCACCATGGATCAACTAAATAAATAGTAAAAACTGGGATAGTAATGTTCCAAAATACTGAGCTTTTCTCGTAAGGACCTTCCCACCACTTACAAACTCTTCTAACATTCAAGCTTTCACTTATCAATGATAAACAGTTCAGACCACAGGGGCATTGAGCTGAGATGGGGAAGAAACAAACACCTTTCAAGAGCCCTAAATGCCCTCAGTAAAAGGATGGATAAACAAACCAAAGCTCAAAGTAACGCAGGTGTCCACTTTAAGGTGGCTTGTGCCTCTTACAGAGCAAGCTGCACCTACCTTGGAGGAATGCCTGTTTTTAAATGCGCCTCCATACGGCTGACATCAGCAAGAGAGAAAACCTTTTTTTCTGTCAACCGGAAGGGAACACTGCAGGCATCCACGACGAGGAGGAGGGCACCTATACTTCGGAAGGTAAAATCAGTGCCATTGACCTGAGAATACAAAAATGTTTTCTGCTGTCATCTCATTTCAATAACCCCAGAATGACCCATCTTTCCAAACCCTTCCCACTGTTTTTTAAACCCATGAATCAGATTTTATTTCCAGGATTCAAACCGCATATTCCATTTACTCTTTTTCTGCCAACACGGTGCCCGTGTTCTCATCGACTTTGCCTTGGCTGGTCTTGGCTTACTGGATGAGATGCTCTGAGCAAGGTGTGGCAGCCTGCTCTCAACTGTGCAGTATGACTCCTGCAGGTGGAAAGCCTTCATTTTTTTTTAATTGAAGTATCATTGACATATAATCTTAAATTGGTTCCAAATATACAACACAGCAGTTCAACAGTTACCCATATTAGTAAATCTCATCCCCACTAGTGCAGTTCCTATCTGTCAACATAGGAAGATGTTACAGAATCACCGAGTATACTCTGCATGCTGTACTACTATCCCCGTGGAAGGCCTTCATTTCTTACGCATACTCTCTCTCATCAGGGCCAAAGCATTCTAACTCAGGGATCAGGCACCAGCCTCTGTACTGCAGCTCCCATAGCTCACACTGCCACATTGGTTCAGAAAAAAAATCATGCCTTAACCCACATAACCCCCCCATTAGAGTTTAGGTTGGGGACATAGAGAAGCCAGACTGCCTCATCTTCCTTGTTCCACACAGAGCTCTCCTTTCAAATCGAAATGGAAAAGTGGTAATTTTACTGGATTGAAGCCACAAGGTATTACTATATTTTGTTCACAATTATTGTGAGCTGAAATGTCCAGTCGTCCTCTTTAAATTAAAAAGTTTTGGACCTTTTCGAAAAGAAAGAACTGCAGACACATTCAAGAATCATTCATTCCTCAGCCGAAAACAAGGAAAATCACTACTAGGCCGAAAAATGATGCAACACTAATTTAAGCCATAGGCACTGTTTCTGTTTAAAATATATAAAACTATAAACTACTTTAAAAATTAACAAAGAACAAATGCTGTCATCTCTACACCTGTCCTTAATTGGGAAAACTATATTTAAATTTATTTCTAACTACCACTGGTCTCATAGGAATCAAAATGGCTTTCTAGCTGTGCTTAAATTGCTCTATCCAGAGAAAAATGCTGAAAATCTCTGAGGCAAAGTGCCATTTTATATTTTGAAAGACTAGAGGGATTCTCTTATTTTTTTTAAATCTTCTGAATACTTAAAATTGAGATGCATTCGAGGAAAAAATACATAATGATCCTCAACATACTCAGACTGTCCTGTGGAAAGGTATCCCCAAAAAACTTTTGCTTAAAGGAAATACAAAACTTCCTATACACACTAAAGCAATGCCATGTCCTGGCACAGATTCTTCAGGCAATTCATGTGACAAGTATGAGAAGTAAATATGACAAAAAGTGGTGTTCTATGACTTTTCTGGGGTTCCAAGCATGCGGGTACAGCAGTGGAGTCAAACAATGTCTTCAGATTCTCGTGCATAGCCTGACTGAGATTTTTGGGGGCAAAACAATACCTCTTTAATTATCAGGTGAACTAGTAGAGCAGGGAAATGCAGTGTTCACTTGCCTCCCTAACGCAATTGCCTGCCACCCGAACCCATGCCCACGGGCTGGATCAGGGTTTTCATGAAGCTGACTGCATTAAGATGCTAAGGTAACAAATTTCATGCCCATAAAATTACATCATGACCATACAAAATGAAGAGTTACTAACGTAGGGTAATAGATTTAAGTATATACTTGAGAGGTCTTAAAGAGTTACATTTAAGTAGGAATATTCTCTTTATTTACAAATGTTGGTTAATAATTCCCCATTTCATCCTCCCCTCTAAAGACATTGTTACTTAAGAGTTTTAAGTTCTAGAGATGGATGGTGGTAATGGTTATACAACAATATGAATGTACTTCATACCTCTGAACTACACACTTAAAAATGGTTAAGATGGTGAATTTTATGTTTTGTATATTTTTTCATGTAATAGAAGAAACTGGGGGAAAAAAAGAATAAGATTTAATTTTGTGGGTTTGTGATTGTGTTGCCCACAGTCACATTTAACAAACTGAACACCTAGTGGAGAATGGGCAAAACAGGTGAGGGGATAAAGAGGTACAGACTTATGATTATAAAATCTGTGAGTTACAGGGGTGTAAAGTATAGCGTGAGGAATGTAGTCAATAACACCATCATAACTTTGGTGACAGATGGTAACTAGACATACTGTGGTGAGTAATGTACATCAATGTCAAAGCACTATGATGTACCCCAAAACTAATATAATATTGTATGTCAACTATACTTCAATTGAAAAACAAAAACAAAGAAACTGAGCTCCTAAAGAACCACGTGTGACTGGGCCAGGCCCGGCTCAGTGTCAGCTGGATGGCTAGATACTGGCTATCCAAGAGCTCTTTATGTGGTGGCACTCAATTAACCTGGTTTCGGACAGGCCCCATGCCAAGAGCTAGTTACCCGTGGCTAGCTTGGCTCTTAGCCCAAATTCTAGTGTTGACACACAGACTCAGGCCTATAGAGTGGATCCTTGAGCAACACAGGTTTGAACTGCATGGGTCCATTAAACACAGATTTTTTTCAGTAAATATATTGGACAATATTTTCGATATCTGTGACAATTTGAAAAATTATTTTCTCTACTCGAGCTTATTGGTAAGAATACAGTGTATAACACATAAAAAAATACAAAATATGTGTTGATCAGCTGTTTATGTTATCAGTAAGGCTTCCAGTCAACAGCAGGCTATTAGCAGTGAAGGTTTTGAGGGATCAAAAGTTCTATTTGGGTCTTTGACTGCCCTGGGGAGGGCTGGTGCCCCTAATGTCACATTGGTTAAAGGTCAACTTTCTAAGTGGGTTACACTGGGAAAAGACAACTAACACATTGTGCCTTCACCTTCTTCACCTAAAACAGTGAGAGCCAGGCAACCTCAAAACGAAAGGCCAAGGAGATTTCAAACCTTTCATTTCCCATATATTAAACAAAAAATGTGGGAGCTTCTTTTATGTCTCGAAAACTAAAGTTAAACAGTTTCTACATGTTGATTGTCAGTGGCAATTATGTATTAACTAAAAATGCCTTTTCCCTAACAGAAATGACATCTGGGTGACCTGTAACACTGTTAGTGAGTGAAAGTAATGTGAACAAATCATAATGTTCACCTAAGTAATCAATGAACACAACATACTGAGAAAAAAACTATAATAAATTTACTTAAAAATGCAAATGGTTTGAGGTTTTTATTCCTCTACTGTACTGCTTGTCACCAGTAACCAAAATGTGATTACAAACCATTGACTGTTACCAAAAATAACTCACGCCCCCAGGGGGAAGGTCAAAGCAAGAAGCTGAGGCAGTGCACACGCTGGACGGTACTCACAGAGATAACGGACAGGTCTCCCCGCTGTATCTCTGCTTTATTGGGTGACTTGAATTGCACGGGGAGGTAGCTTGTATGAGGATCGCTAGTAAACACCACCTAAATAGGGAAGAAGTTCCACATTTGTGTCAACTGCATCTTCCTCCAAATGGAAGCTTCAAAATAAACTCAACTATGTCAAACTCAGTGGGTGGTTTGTTTGTCGTTTTTTTCCCCGAACTTTCTGTACATATTTCATGACCTGGAATTCTATCTTTTGGGTAAAGGCTTAACCTGAGAAGTGTATGGTCCTCATTATATGGAACAATCCCAGTTTCAAAATCAATGTTGTCTCTTGTTAATAAAATCAGTTCTACAAAGGACTGAATAAATGAGTCTTACATTTAAACCTTTGTAAATATCTTATGCAAAAATAGTCACAAATCTTTTAAAGATCCTTTCCAGGCCAGTTATCCTGAGTTGGGACTCAGTCACTCCCACTGGGACTGAGTAAAGAAGCATGAATGACAAGAATCATCCTGCGTGTAAGCTTAGAGTGAGCAAACTTGGGTATTACCAGGTCTAAATTCATCTGCCTGACCTGCAAAGTGCCCCAGAGATTGAGCCACACCTCAAGACAGGCCTTTACTTCCCACTGTTCTATCACATTCAACAGGTGAGTTTTGAATTGCCTCGCTTTCCCACACTTCGCCTTTGCCAATGCAAAAGTTTCCTCCCCATGAATGCCCTTCCCTGTTTCCTTCTATGCCTCCACATCATTCCCCATCTCCCAATCTCACCTCCTCTCTCCTCGCTAAAGGCTCTCTACTCATTCAAAAAGCACTTTTAACTCATATTACAATTTCGCACTTAAAGTATATGTCCTTGTAAACTGACGTCAATAACTTTATTACAAGGGCCAATAATCATCACGAAACTAAACATTCAGAAGCTGGACATTTCCTTGAAGTTTTAGGTTTGAGGTAAAAAATACATGTGAATTTTCCTACTTACTCCTAATATACACGTGTTTGTTCTTGATATTCAAAGCAAAATTTCCCCTCAAATTTCCAAATAAAAGTGTTGCTCCCACAGGATTCAAATACTTCGCAAATGCAACAAGTTCACTAATCAATACAATTTTCAAAAAAATGAATTCCAATCAATGTCCTAAGCACAAAGAATAAAGAATGCTAAACATGAATTCATGGAACTGTTTAATAAGACAAGCCTAGAAGATTTCCAATGATGATTATTTTATAAATTATAATTGGTATTATAAATTATATAAAGTCTTTTCAGTAATGAAGGGCTTTAGCAAATTCAGCTTGTGAATTAAGCTAGAGAATTTACTTCCCCACAAAGAATATCTAAAAAATGTCACTTTAACAGTCAAAACATTGCATGGACAGGGAAGGACCCATATAACTTTGTCTACATGGTTTGTTTTTTAGTTTTAGCTGAATTGGAGAACAGAGGTGGCCCCAAGATATGAGAGACAGAAACTGATAGTAAGTTGCCATAAAAAAAGATACTTATAACAGGAATTGTAACTCTACCTTCCTCTCCCTGCTCTGACTGCCACCAATGGGCAGGAACAATCAAGAAAAATGTCTGAATCAGTAGGACTGGAGCAGGGCCCAAGAATTTTTTCGCAAGTTCCCAGGTGCAGCTGATGCTGCCAGTCCAGAAACCATACTTTGAGAACCATTTCCCTTATAACCCACACTTGTTTGTGTAAAGATTAATTATTAACCAGGGCAGTATTAACCCTATATTCCTTTTTCACCTGGAATTGGTCTGACTTCCTTTGGAAACCCCATGTTCAACTTTAGCGCCTATTTTGGATTTATTTATATTGCCATGTTTTCTCAAGACCCAGAAGGAAACCATCTAATGAAGACAATGATAGGAAAAGCAATTGACTTCCAGCCAGAGTTAGAATTTGTACCTTTAATTACAGGTAAATATAATAGCACATGCTTCGAAATTAAGAGTGGCTTTCCACCCATTAAAAAATATAGAAAAATACTTATTGACAGAATGAGATTTCTTTTTTGAAAAGGCAGCTCATATGAAAGTTATCTCCTTTTAGGTCACTGACATATAAACCCAATAGCACTACTGCTACCGAGTCACATCTGAGAGAGAAAAGATGAGGACCAATAAATCCATAGTCATCCACAGCAAACTGACATATCTCAGGGGGAAGGTACATTTATTATAAATTTGGTTTGCTTCTTATGAGCACCACATTCTAGAATGGGCCAAAATTCAAGAGAAATCACACAGTATTTATAAATTGGCAACAGAGACATTTCAAAGAAAACTGTGCCTATTGTGAAGAAATCTTTTTGACTTTTTCTCTCAGGCTACAGCCTATTTTCCCCTCTTTTACCTGGCGGCTCCCACAGCCTTGACAGAGTCCCTTGAGCATGGATGGCATCTGCTTGAGTGCTGACGGCTTTCTGTAAAACTGGGGATATGCTTTGGCCATGCAGTTACTGATGTCTTTTGAGTCTGTTGCTGCCTGGATCTTGACTCTTTCGCATCCCTGAGATGAACAGTAACTGTGGCCATCCCTGTGGCTTTTGGCTTTGAGATACAAAAACAGCAACCTGCACAAAACAGAAACCAATCCGTGGGGTATCAGACTGACTTTCAAAGACTTAGAAAAATTCTTCAAGTCAACTCATGGCCAAAGGGGACATTCCTTCAATAAAGTTAACGTTTCCTTAAGAGAAAAATAAATTACAAAACTAATAAAGCTGTCCCTCTTTCCTTTCTCTTAAGGTCCTAAGTCAAATGTAGTGAATTCAGGAAATATTTTGATGACCGGATTCCGTTGTTCCGGAAGGCATTGAAGTTGAATGCTGATTTGAATTAGTTCAATGGGTTATATAGGAGGATGGAACTTAGCCTGGCTCAAAAATTCCTTGGAAAACTTTGTACTGAGTTTAGAATTTGGTAAATTAGTGAGGATTAGTTAAGTTTGGTGTTGGTTTATAAATCATTTTGATTTAAGGCACAAAATTGGAATAATAAAAGCAGAAACTGTGCTTTGTTTGACTAAGGCCAAGATATGGTTTCAAACCAACCCCTGTGATGTTTACTAAGAGCAGATGGGCCTAGGTTCCTTCGGTCTGTACTCCGATCAAAAGCAAGTGGAATGAACAGCCCCCTCCCCTACCCTGAATCACTCTCTGATTGCCAACATGAATGGAAAAGTAACTGCCAGGCAACAGTGCAACATCGGTCAGCAAACCTACTCCTTCTAAACCGAAGTCAGGATTTTAAAGGACTTCGTAAAATGTGATGGATTACTGGGGACCCAGAATTCACATTTTAATATGAGGCAAATGAACCATATACAGTCGCAATTATAAGGTAAAAATCAGCCATTGTCCCAACATCCAGTAATTCCAACACACATACATGAGGACTAATGGGGACCTGATTAGGCACGGGTCTTCTGATATATAGTTAAAATAATCAGAATGAATAGAATTAAAAAGAATTAGAACCTTAAAATCTGAGAGATTCTAGGAATACTCAGATCAAGAAATATTTATGATCTTTTTTACACATTTAATCATTCATTTGTGATCAACAGACTGTCCTTACGAATTTCGGTGTCCAATTTACTTTTGCAGACAGTCAACTGGGAACATGGGAAATCTGTTATCTATAGACTAAGAGTCCAAGTAGGTTAGTAAAGTCTTGAAAATCGGAGACAATTATGATAAGAAAAGACTTAAGTTGATCACATTGGCTGCTGCAGAGGCCCTGGAGGGCAAAGGAGTTGCATCTTATTCAAAACCCAACAAGGCACTTGGCTGAACCCCAACCATTCCCCCAATCACACTTGCCACCCTTCTTCTCAGCCTGAACTTCTGTCTTACCCAAAACATGCCATGCTTTGTTCTTCTACACCTCCATGCATTTAATTTAACCAGACTGTTCTTGGGATACCTTATCCATCTATTTTCCCATTTCCTCCTACTCATTCCTCAAGAGTTCACCCCAGTATCACCCTTTCAGGATGTCACTGGTCACCCTAGGCCGAACTTCAGGGTTACCTCAAAAGGCACACTGAATATCCCACTATAGGACTTAACAGCATTTAAACCTTTCACTAATTACTTGCTTTTCATGCCCACACCCTTCCATGGTTTGTGAATTCACAGAAGAAATGCCTCTTAGTACTTTTACACAACCTGGACAGTGGCATATAGTAGAAATGTCAACTTAGGGAATGGATACAGAAGGAGCATGCTACTTGCTGGAAGAGTACAGGAGATCGAGCCTACCATAACCCAAAGGCTGAGAGACTGTAATTGGACAAAAGCAGTCAAAGCCAACAGGACCCCAGGTGAACAGGATTAGAATTAAAAAGTAGAAAGACACAGCCTAGAGAAAGTTGAAAGCAAATATGCCATGGTTGTAACAGTGAATTTTTTTTTTCAAACTCAAGGTCAGCTTGAGTGACAAGCCTTTAAGGAAGAAAAAATGAGCTTTCATTGAAATATGAACCATATCACGTAACCAATCCTCTTTAGAGTTGTTACGGAAAAATAACTTTTTAATTTTCAGTTGTGCCTACCAGGTCTTTATTGACAAGGGTAATTTCCCTCTAAATAGCCTTAATAGTATAATACAGCAAACATCTTCACTTGATTCCATAATTACAAGTGATTCTACTTCTCAAAACCTCCGATAGTGATGAGCAGAGAATTACCCACATTAGCTACTTTCTCAACAGCTGTCACATCATAACCTATTCAGAGTTAGGCTGAAGAACTAGTAATTTCACCATTAAAGAAAAACAGCAATAACTCTCATTCACTGGTTGCACTGAATTACCCCGTGCCGGAGTCAAAATAGAATTTCCTCTCAGACTGTTTCCTCTGCAATTCTTCTAGTGATCCCACGGGCTCGTACTCTTCCATTCTGGATAACGAGCCATTATGCCGCTGTAAAAAGCCAAAAGTGACCTGAAAACTTGTGTTTGATGGATAGCAGAGGCCAACTCGAATCCAGTCGTCCCTATAAAAGAGAGATAATAAACAAATGAATTCCCACTTCAGCCAATGTATTTTGAGTTTTACAGCATATGACATTTTAGCCAGCATTTTCTCCTCCTGTAATTTCTGTGTACAGAGCCCCTAACAGTGGAAGTCCAGAACCCTGACATACTAACGAACCATCTACCTTTATATGTTACCCAAATTTCTCTTATCAATATATTTACAGTAATATGGCTTACAGAAAGTGTGTTGATTTCAAAGGACTTCAGGGAATGTGAATAGAACTTGGGTAAAATGTCCTTAGACACCATGAGCAGATAATAAAATTCGGAGATGAGTGAGTTTGAGTGCACTCAGATGGAACACTAACAGACTCACAGTAGAAGTCTGCACTGGTAAAATCTGTCCAAAGAATTATTTTGTTCCTAAATATATGGTTATACTTTATATTAGGATAAATACCTAGTGGTAAAATTGCTTGCTATAGACGTATAAGTATTTTTAAAGCTTTTTGATGCATATTATACCAAGCTCTCATTACCAAATTATTTTTTCTTACCTAATGTCCTTAGATATAAAATTAATACTTTTTGATAACCATTAAAAATAGTTCTCCCTTTTCTGTCATCTGCTTTTTGGGGAACATTTTTTAAATTGTGACTAAAATACATATAACACAAAAAGTAACATTTTAGCCATTTTTAACCATATAGTTCAGTGGCATTAAGTACACTCAAGAGGTTGTGCAACATTCACCATTATCCATTTCTAGATCTTTTTACCCATTCTAAAGAATTTTAAACACTATGCAACAAGGTCTTACAATTTTCACACAGGTTTCAGCCAGTAACCCCACTAAAGAATAACTAGAAATGCTGACAAGATATGTATAAGAAAAGATATTCTATGCGGTATAATTTATAACAGTCAAAAGGGGGAGGGATAGGAGAAAGTCAACCTAAATGTTCATGGGGGAAGGGAGTAAATTAAATAAATTCTGGAATATTTTTATGCTCCAAAAACACCTGAGGGTGGAGAGAGAGGAGAACACCATAAATGTTTAAAATGCCTTTGATTAGAATTATAGATAATTTTAATTTTCTTTATGTTTTCCTATATTTTCCTTACTTTGTGTAATGAGTAAGTACAGCTTTTAAAAGTTTTACAGTGTTACTTTCAGAAGTGACACAATTACAAAATCTATGACCCCTTTATGGTTATATTAAGTTGCAGGGAAAAAGTTATCCATCTCCTCTGCTTGCCGCTACCCATGATGCAATTACTACAAACTTTCAGCTAATGGAACAAGGAAAGTTTGACTAATTTTTTAAACTTCTGGATACAGCCTTTTTTCACTTTAAAATTTTTTTATTTACTCAGTATTTGCTCAAAAGTTAAGTGTGATCTTACAGAACACTGTACACCATTTGGCTGTAATATCTCACCTCAGCTTCAGCTAAGTTTTTAGATCACTGATCACTCTGACATTTCTCCTGAGTCCTCTTCAAACACCGTTTCTTTCTTTCCTTGACTTCTCTGCAGCTCACAGGAGTGATAATACCAGATTGGTTTTTAGAAAACTCACCCTGGACACAATGTGTACTAAGGAAACTGGAGGTGGGGAGACCACATAGGATCCAGGCAAGAGATGATAATGCCTGGAACTCAGCCACAGAGCAGTGTGGGTGGGAAGAAGCAGAGGGTTTTGAACAACACTAAGGAGACAGAACCAACAGGGTTTTGTTCAGTGATGGGATAGAGAGATGAGGAAAGAGTCAAGGATGAGTCCTGGGATCTGGGACTTGGTGGACACAGTCCATGGGAGTGTGCTTCTCCAGCTGGGTTAGAGAAGCAGCAGCCAGTGTCCCAGGAAAACAGTGGTGATTCGGTTTAGAGCTAACACCGAAGTGCCAGAGTCCTAACACCTCAGAGTAAGGGCACCCACTGACGTTCACCGATCCTGAGAAGTGACCTACTGAGAGCAGAATTCCTGCATGTTCTCTGTCCACCTCTGTTCATTTCAGTTGGGTGCTTTAAGAGTTCTAGCAATCCACAGCTTATGACCAGCCAAGCGAACAAGCTGTTGCAGTATTTCAGACACATACCTGCCTAGTTTCATGGCATCCGAGGGGTAAGGCATCACACTTACCTAGGCTGGTTACCTCTGCCACCTTTCAAAACAGTCCCATCCATTCTTTAGCATGTCATCTTCTGTCACCTCCCCTGCCACACTCTATGCTGCCATCCCAGGGAGTCCACCACTCCCTGAGCAGAACCGGCCCCTCCCCAACTATTTTTTCTGTGACAAGACCAATCACTTAGTGTAACCTGGCCCAACACCCCTAGGCAAAGTCATCGCTCTATCCTTTGTCCACTAAAACAGCAGCAGTTTATCAACTTTCTTAAATTTTTTCTACCTCTATACTGTGAGCTACTGAAGGCCAAGTGCTTTTCTCATTCATCTTTATATCAACTGGCACACAGTAAACACTTGAATAAATTCACGTAAAAATATAGCCTTCAGTTGAAAGTAATATTATTAGGACAGACAATTGAGAAATTAAGAAGGGACGGAAAGATGCTTTCAGTAAGGGCGGCAAATACCTGACATTCGTGCCACAATCCTTCTACCTTTTGCCCCTCACCGAGGTTACTAATCAATTGCACCACCCTCTTCTGTCAAGTCTAAACTTGGCCGCAAAAATATTTGTTTCCCAGGTGACCAAGCATTCAGTTGGAACACCAGATAAAACTTCATCCCCTCCCAGCATTCCTTTAATGGGGAATTCCTTTAATAAGGAATTAAAGTATTCAGCAGACTGTGTTAAAAACTATTGTTAAATGGGTTTCTGCACACAATACCCTGACTAGAGAGAAAATGAAATGCGTTTAAAATGACTGGATTCAATCTGCATAATCTCTCAATTCCATCACCATGAAATACAACAGCTTCATCCATTAAGAGGATCAAAGTACATGAAACTGGCATCCTTTGCTTCTAACAAAGGAGGTATGTTTTTATTTTTCTCCACTAAATTACTACTTGCTCAACTATTTGAAATAACAGTAAGAGAAACATACTTGTTGAAGTTTATGAGGTACAGAAAAGCAGTCCTCGGCGCCGGCCCATTCCAGTGGATGGTGTAGCCCTTTTCCAGCATGATCACGGGCTGGTACTGGGGGAAGGCTGCCTTCTGGTTAATGCCGCGGAGCACCATAGGGTAGGATGGATATTCGTCTCGCGTGATGGTCATAGTCAGATTCTGAGTGCTCCATGTCTGCACATAGACCTTCAAAAAATCATTAATAATTAAAGGAAAGTGAGTGAAAATTTAAGTAGCTAAACAAACACTTCCAGCACAAGTTTAGTGTCTCTACTCTCAAAAGACAGTTTCTGTGATCTGTGCCAGACCGAATGAGTGGCAGCCAGCCTCATCCTAAACTGCACTAACAATGGAGCCTACTTAAACTGCAGTGGTAAAAACAGACCCTGCATTCTGCTAGCCAAAAACTTCCATCATCCCTTCCACCACCACGGGCCAGCTTACTCAGTAGCACAGGAAACCTGTGTGGCTTATTCAGCTTGTCAAAGAACTCCCTCCATGTGAGGAAGGCACATACAATACATTAGTAAATGAATGTGAAAACTGATACACCCTCTAGTCAAATCTAAGAGACTTTCCTTTAAAACACAAGAGATGGAAAATTTAAATATCTCAGAGCTTGGCAATTTTCCACAACCTACATCAGCCCAAGAAGAGTTGTTTTTCACCCAAAAAAAAAAAGGTTATAAAGCACTCTGCAAAAGCTGGAAAAACATATTACACTGAGACAAATTTGGAAGTCCTCAACTGCTTCCAGGGGTATCAAAGCCCCTTGCTGTGCCAAAACAAGACCTTCCCCAAACACATCCTCTGAAAAACAAACCTCAGAACAATTTCCTAAAACAAATCAGTATCCTGTAACACAATTCCCCAGAAGTATTAACACATCTGCAGGATCACATTTAATCCACAATTACTGCTCTATTTCTCTTTGTCATTTCTAGTTTTATCCCTATTCATTCCTCAGTTATACATCCTCTGAGGCAGGAAATCTTAACTCTCATTCATGCTGAACAATTTTGACATACTCTTCTCTCTACTGATACCACTTAAAGATTTAAAATAAAAAGACAGGAAATACTTATAGTTTGAGATTACTGATTATCTTTATTGAAATATACAAATATTTCATATATGTTACAATTCATGTATTTATTACTTAAATATGTTTCTATTTAAATACATATAATTAAACACAGCTTATATATAACATATAATAGGTTGTATATCTCCTGCATTCTTCCAAATCAAATAGTGGCACATGTAACCTTATTTCTCCTTATGTTACCACCTTTCTTTCTGAGCACCACTATCTGTTGGGTCAGCAAAGAGCAGACATTCCATTAAAATACATTTATAAGTAGATAATGATTATTCTATTTGAGTCCACTTGCCTCATTTCTATCTTTTGCCTGAAAACATACTGTATTATACATTAGCTAAGCTAAGTAACAGCAAATGGCCACAGACCTGGGCTCCTGGCCCAAAACTCAAATTCTTAGGAGAAAAATTTTGACCTGTGCTCCTACTATTCCCAGGACCTCTTGGGAAGCATTAGATGGCTTATTTCTTCAGTTTCAAATAAGAATGTAGTAGCTACTCTACTTTTACAAGTAGAAGGATCAGGTTGACATTCTCAAATACATTAGAAATCCAAAGAGTTTACTGACACATTTATAATTATTTTTAAAATGTAAACTTCACTGTGAGCACACACTGCTTTCAGACAAACACACATGCACAGGGCTGGCAAGAAGTTTAACTAAAAGTGTAGCTACCGAAGGACCAAAAGCTTCTTACTTCTGTTTCTGTTTTATTCTAATTCTAGCATTTCTATGCTTCCTAGGTATTGATGGGTCAACTTAATTTTAGGGGGCAATTCTGATGAAGAATAAAATGAGAGGAAAAAAGTCACATTTTAAACCACACTCTTGTCTTCTTTACTTTATTATACAATTAATTTTCCATCCTTACCTTGTTCCTCCCAGAACTTAAACAACTTTTTTTTTTGCCTCATGGATTGAGAAATCCCACAACAAATGAGCTATTACTCTATTAAAATAAATCAGAAAATTCTCTCCAATCTTTACCCCTCTTAAGACATGTGTCTTGTCTATAGATAAGAATCTTAAGAATCATAGATAGCATCAGTCATGAGTCAGAAGAAGTCAGAAGAGCAATGGAGAACTGCTCCAAGAAGCTCTGTGGGTAAAACTGTAACATTTCCAGAGTATCTCGGCTGGCTTTAGTGCATTTGCATATCCTCAGGGATGAAGAGAAGTTCATCTCCATGTCAGTGGGTAAACCTGGGCAACCGAGGGCGTGTCTGAACCTGAGAGTTTAAACGTCTTCAGGAGCAGAGGAGAGAGAAGGCCCTGGACTGCAGTTTGTAAGCAATAAATGGGTTTTAGTTTTTATTTCTCCCTTTGGCTGATTTTGGTTTTTAGAGGTATTGTGCCCCAGGATTTCCTCTCCCCAGACTTACAAGCTCCCACTCTGGAAGGCTTAGGTGGTAGAAACCACATACAACTCAAGGGGCTCAAGAAGGCGAAAATCAGCAGTCCGTGAGCACACCCTTAACAGGCAAAGTAGCCAGAGCTTTGCAGAGGGGTTACACGACAGGACTGGTCCTTCCCCAGAAAGACCCACCCTGTAGGTGAGAGCATTTAGCAGTGAATCAGTGAGGGCAGGTACTTTGCAGCCTTTAGGACTATCAGAGCCTATTTCCCCCTGGAAGATTCTTTGCTTTTCCCCTAAAGCTTCCCTCCACACTCTACCTTTTCCCTTTATTCCTTTGATGTCTATTATTAAATCCTACCATTTAATTATCTAAAATCTGGAAATAAATTCCTGCTCCCTTCCTCATTCTGGGCAACTGGTACCTCCATCCTGCAGCCTCTTGCATCCAAGCATCACTACTAAAACCATCTTTGCACTGAAGGAATGAAACAGCAGCAGACTCACAGACTCCAAGAAGGGTCAGATTAGCAGTTACCAAAGGGAAGGGGTAGGGAGGGTGGATAAGAGAGAGGGAGAAGGGGATTAAGGGGCATTATAATTAGCACTCACAGTATAGGTAGTTCACAGGGAAGGCAGTACAGCATGGAGAAGTAGTGACTCTGTGGCATCTTACTACACTGATGGACAGTGACTGCAATGGGGCACGTGGGGGGGACTTGGTAATATGGGTGAATGCAGTAACCACAATGTTGCTTATGTGAAACCTTTATTAAGATTGTATATCCACGATACCTTAATAAAAATAAATACATAAAACCATCTTTGCAACTGAGAACTTCCTCCTCAACTAATGCTAATTGCAGCAAAGAAGCACTTCATACGTGCCAGGCTATAGGCTAAATGCTTTACATATATTCATACACACTATCTTCAAAACAGCTTTGTATGAGAAGAACTAGTGTTATCTTTGTGCACAGGCACAAAGTAGTTAATTAACTAACCCACCTCATACTTAGGGAGATGAAGCCAGGATTCAAACCCAGGCAGCCCGGCTCCAACTTCTGTGCTCTTAACACACTGCTACCCCTACTAGTAGGCATCCAGTTGGTAGATGCAGCCTGGCTTAATGTTTTTGATCACCTTCATATTTTCCCAGATATTATGCATATTTGAAGAATTTCCTTGGATTCTTTCCTTGTTCCCTCATTTCCAGTTCCCAGCTCTGTCTCCGGGAACATCTCACTTTGCATGGGACCTACTGACATTCTGCCTCAAAAGTCAGATTTCCTGATTTAGTAGAGATAATGACCCTGAAATCAAAGAATAAAACTCCCTCTCAATGGGCACTGTCGTGGGACAGCAAGAAAACCTGGCCTACAACAAAGGAAATATGGATTTTCCACCCAACTATATTCCAACCATATTTAACCAAGTATCACCTCACTTGGACTCACTTTTCTACTTGTTAAATTGGTTTGCAGTAAGGGAGCTTTAAATAAAATTCTATGTCCATGATTCCTAATGAACTTTTTCTTTCTTTTTTCTCCCCCTAAAGAAAAACCTTTGGAAAGCATCAGTCATATTGGAGAGCAGAAGAGTACTCCTCACAGAAGCAGTATATCAGGAGCTGTTAAGGAATCAGGCACTGCAATGCATTGTGACCTACCTGGGCATAGTTCCCACTGCAGACCACTGCATTCCATTTGGTAACGTTTACACAGCTTGGATGGCGGATCAGGAAGTTGTCCATTCTTCCAACATAAGCATCCTTGTATCCTGTCACAGAGCCATCAATGTCATGGAAAATAGAGTTCTTATCACCATCCAGCTCACAATCTTCAAACCAGGGCCCTGGCTTTCCAAAGAAGACATTCAGAGAGACCTGGTACAGTGAAAAACAAGAGCATCACAAATGAGGGCTCCTGCCATCTTAGCCAGCATCCCGTGCAAGGACCCAGCTGCATATCCACTGTAACAGCTTTAAGGTTTGAGCAGTTTTGTCCCAGTTCATAGCTTTCAACTACAGCTACTAGTCAACAAAAGTTTCTGATTATTGGAAACATGAATCCCCCAAGCCTTGTGGAATTCAAGTAGCAAATATTCAACTTCATCTTTGGTGTTTTCCTTTCATTCCACTTAAAAACTATTGCCTGTTCTCCTGACAAAACTAATCTGTGGCAGGAGAAATCAGAACAGTTGTGGGAAGGCACCATGCAGTCCTATGTATTTGTTAAAAATTATAGACTCTACGCTTCAGATCTATGCAGTTCCCTGTAGGCAATTTATACCTCAGTTAAATAAAAATCTATTCCAAGTTCTATCTTCTGAGCTAGTTAATCATTTTATTTTGCTCCAATGCTTTATTTACTTGTTCAGATGACCCCCCCAACCAAGAAATAAACACAGTTCTAAACTCATCTTGGTATGACTGGGTGACCACTGAACTCACTAGAACTTGCTGAAAAGTGTATGTTACTTTCTCTCTCCTTAGCACAGACCAAGCCCAGCTCAGTAATGTTCGTGTCAGGTAGAGTTCATTTAAAGCCTTTACTGAACACACAGTACACAGCTGCAAAGCAGCGGCAGGTGACATGTTTTATAGTCTTCAGCTGCTTCTTATTAGCGGGAAATTATTAATGTTATTCAGACCATGCAGATACACCTCTAAAATGTTTTTATGCACTCATCACCCTGGGAAGTTTTAAAGTCAACTGAATATCTAAATGATAAGCAACTCCATGGAAAATTAGTGGGTAATGTTTGGGACAAGTGACTCTAGGTTCTTAGCACTAGACTTTTTTCTCTTTTAACTTGTACATCCTCTGGCTAAACCTAAGAGAAGTTTAGGGCACACTTTCTACCTTTTTAGGTAGAACCAATCTGGCAAATTGTCCCCTTTATGAACTGTTCCCAGAGTATTGCCACCATAAGGAACTGAGGAAACACTCAATGTAAACAAGCATGGATAGAATTCTAGAACTCCACGACAAACGCACACCTACCACATAGTCTTTCAGTATGCCCATGTCAGTGGTCACTGAACCCCATGCACAGGATGTCCGTGCAGGCAGTAAGCAGACGGCCAACCTCCACACTGGAGGGCTGATCAAGAGTCATCCTATTTCTTTATGTGGGATGCTCCCTACTAGTGCAGCCCCTCCTCTTCCCCTGGGGTCAGGCGGCCTGAAAGAGAAGCAGCCAGCAAGCTGACTTCCCAGTTTGCACCTGTGCCTCAGCTATTCTGGAAAACCAGATACAGACTTGGGTAACTATCCCAAGTTCTATTTTAAACGGGGAAACCACAGCGTTTGCCTGTGGACATCAGCGCAAGAACTGGGAGGCACTCTGCAGTCGCGGCTGCCTGACTCTCTGTCTATACCAGCGTCACGGAGGGACTGGGATTGCAGGGAGGCTGGGTGTATGTGATCAGACCGGCCTGTGTAGTAAGGGCAAAGGGGGTATGATGAGACATCTGATTAAACTATTTCTGTGGGCCATTGCATTGTAGATGATTATTTCTAAGTATTCTTTACAATCGTCATAAAAACCCTCCAATGGTCTATATCAGGAATAAACCATTTTGTTCCACACAGCTCTGGTGTTCCTCTTCTTCCCCAACTCTTCATCCTCTAGTTCCTCAGAAATAGGTCCCAGGCAAGTGAAATGCAAGGCGGAACCCAAACCTCTCTGTGGATTATTACACCGAATTTCCCAAAACCACATGTCCCCTTGTTCCTACAAAACTCTACAATTCCATCTCTGTGTCAGCACTTTAGGTCGTTTTCCTTTTCAAGATAGCACTTGAATGCCAAAAATACCCCAGGTCACATGGCCTTCTATTCTCACCTTGAACTCAATGGGACAGAGCACATGGAGTTAGGACCTGCTTCTTCATCTACTTCTCCTCTGAGTCCTAAGGACGCGGTAGAAATCCTTTGTCTGTCTTGGGGAATGTGCTAGCCCTCCTCCCACCACAGTCACTGTACAAGCCCCAAGAACATACTTACATGTGGGCCAAACTTCACAAGGGAAATGTTATTCCTGGGGGTTATCTGCCAGGAATTCTTCATGAGGAAGCCAATAGCACTGGTGTACCTATCTGGAGTTGGCACATATTTTTTGAAAGTACACCTGGTAAGATGAATGGGTCCATCATAAATCTGAAAGCCTCTAATCGGGAATGTCCTGTTGAAATACAAGATTTCGTTCAATGCACATGAGCCCATCACTTACTTACACTTCACTTACATACTTGTTTTATACTGTTGAATATCCCACATGCACTAAAGACAATTCTAGTTTACAGTGGGAACTAAGACTAGCTACCTCATCAAGTGAATCATATACTGTAGTAAAGGCAAACAGAAAACAAGGTAAGTGGTATGGGGACAGTGAGACATTGTACCACAATTGATTGGGAAGGACAGAGATGCTGTTTTGCATAGAATGGAGGCCTCTCTGAAGAGGTGACTTTTGATTCCTTCAATCAACTAAGTTAAGACCTTTAATTTAATAACTCATATACTTATACTTCTGGTTCCAAAATCTCTAGCATGAGAACAAAAGATAAATTTGTGCTTGAACAGAATAGAACCTTCTTTCAAACCAGTAAAGGATAGTAATAAGGTGAAATTACATTCTTAAAAGTGTAAAAGTATAAGTCCTCAAGGCTTACTATGTCAAAGGGACTAGCTAGATTGAGAAACCCATTTTATTCATTTTTTCCCTTCTGTGCAAACACAAACTCCTTAACCTACTAATCATGTACCACTAACCATAATTAATGTACAAAACTCATAATACTCCAGATCCCATAGGTTTCTCCTGTATTATATTCTTTAATGGCATTGCAGAGGATTTCTATAGTAACTAATTAGTTGACAACTTGGCAGTGTTTTACAATAGAAGCACATATGCTAGGAAGAAAAATCAAATAGCCTGGTTAAAAATCTGTACATCTTGATATATTTCTAAGGCTATGTCCCAAAATGGCTCTCTCCTATAGAAAAGGTTGTAAAGCTACAGTAAAATAAAAATGGGATTCATTGACCAATGAGGAAATTTTTGTTTTGGAAAATCCTTCTCAGCAAAGAAGCAACAGGCATTTTGAAACAGAACTGAAGGCCAGTGTAAAATAAAAAGAATGGAACTCAACTGGCTACCATCATACTGCAATACCCCAACCAACACAGCCTTCTTCCTTTGATCCACACATTGGAAGAGGCAGCTATGCCCTAAAATGAAGAGCACGGCACTGAAGCCAAGCTAACAGGGTGTGAATTCCACTGCAGCTACTTTTGGTATGTTACTCATTTACAAAGTGGGGTGATGACAGTATCTACCTCCCTGGCCTTTGCGAGGATTAAGTGAACAGTACAGCATACATCATAAGCATTTAATAAGTGTTAGCTATTAAAAATCCATGAAGCAGGAGTTCTACATAGAGTGCAGCTTACGGTGACACAGTATTTCCCAAAAACGAGCGTGGGGGAGAGAAGCCCAGACAGGCCACCTGTGCCAGAGCTAGAAAAGCCCATCTGCCAACTCCCAGCCCCCTGCCCCCAAAGCTAACAGTCTGTTTGCCTCATCGCCTTGACCAGCACAGATGGAGTATATCATTTTAGGGAATCGCTCCTTGGTGAATTCTGCCACTAGCTCCGATGTGAGGCCTTTAGAGCACTAGCTCTTCTCTACCTCGTTTTCTCACCAGTAAAATGAGGACAACTCCAAACTGTTTCTCAAAACTGAAGTATAGATTAACTACTTCATAGTCCCTTAAATGCCCTGAAGAATATTTCTAGTGCTAAGTAGTATTTTAATGACTCTGTGATTATTTTGACAGAAAGCTGTCAAAAGTCTCCCCTTACCTCTTCAACATCTGAAATACTGTTAATTATACAGTCCTGGTTAGGTCTGGATTCAGCTTTGACCCTCTTATCAATTCTTATTTTCTGGAACTCTTTTCAATAGGTAATTTCCTCTTGAGTGGCTATTTCTGAAAACCAACATCACAAGTTGAGGGAGAACTGACCTAATGTCATAGTTTATGGTTTGGCAACTTACTGTGTATGGCCAAGAAGGGGGAAAAAAAAAACCCAAAAAATACAAGCTTATGTAAGGTCTTATACAAGGAAAGAGAAACAAGATATGATGCTTCATTATAACACTGATAATGGAATCTATAAACTGTTTAGTACTTAATGTTCCAGAATTCCAGAGGATAATATACATAGTAGTAATAGTGTTAGTAACAGCTTAATAACAGTAAGGTGGGAAAAGTGTCACAGTGGGAACCAATCCATCCATGATTATTAAACAAACTTCCCTAAGTGTTAGGTTTTCATTTATTATTTAAATTTAATATTCTATTGTTCAAGCAATGCTTACCTGTTCCTGGGTAATGACCGAAGCTTCTGGTCTATTCCTCCCGTGCCCGCGTACTTGTTCTGACCTCCCTGAAAGCCGTAATTTCTGCTCTCCCCAACAAATAGAGATTCAGATACCTCCTGGCTGGAACCCTCATCACTTGGAAAGCTTCCATCACTGTTAAATGAGAATAATCATTTACCACACATCTCTAGGGAATCCAAAGTGACCCTCAAATGAAGGCAAGCTGTAACTGAAAAAGCTAGAAATTTTGAAAGCGGCCCATAGCTTTTCCTAACACCTATTACTGAGACATCAAAAAGTGCTTCCACATTGTGAACATACCTCCAACAAATTAAAATGTGGTTTACAAATTGGATCTCAACAAATGCGATTTAATTTGGCGGCAATAACTAATTCTTTTAGTCTCAAGCAGCCAATGGGGAGAATGAACCTACCCTGCTAACAACCAGATGACAAGCATGTGGAAGCTGATAACAAGAAAACTGTGACCTGGAGGAAAATACGTAACGTGAAAAGTTCAGTTATTAAAGACCACTGCAAAATTAGACCAGCTTCTAAGAAAGATTTCACCTGCTTCCAACTTTTACTCCCTTCCTCTTATTCCTCTGCTTCTTGAGATCTTTAATCTAAACCTCAAGTCCTTCCTCTAAGCAAAAACATGCTGCACCTACCTTCCTGCAGAATTCCAGCTATATTAACCTACTATTTTGGTATGAATTCAATTAACTAATAAAAATGTATTTTGGGCCCTCTAGTAGTATCAGGAAGTGGGTGCTGATTTTCTTTCTAATGCTAGTAAATGATATGCCATTCCTGTGTGTTATCAAGAAAAAAAACAAAAACAAAAATCAAAATCAAGGGTTATTTTACCTTACAGCTTTCAAATAATCAGATAAGTACTTTTAAAGGAATTACAAACCTGGCAAAGGTCAATCCTATTCCATTATCTGCAAATCTGTGAGAAAAAAGAGAGAAAGGGAACACTTTAATTTACCACATCATGTAAAAGCAGGTAATTCTCTCAATACTTAATTTTGATGAAATCCAGGAGGTTCTAATACTGCTTATTCTCCAACACCAGGAAAAAGAAAATTCACTTCCCAAACTAAAAGCCCAGACTCTACAGTGAAGATGCCTGGTTCATATCTCAGCTTTGCCGACTGCGAGCTGTATGACCTTGGGCAAGTTACTCAATCTGACTTTCCCCCAGTTTTCTCACCTATTAGTTTAAATAATAATATAATGTCCCTTCCAGGACACTTGAGAGCATTTAAGGCACTAATCAATTCCAACCCTTCAGAACAGTGTCTGGCCCATAGTAAGCAGCATATAAGTGCTAGGGATAATTATTGTTAGTAGTATTTTTAGAAACAATTAGGTCACAGTATTCTCTTCAAAACTTTTCAGCAGTTAATACCCAGGCTATTTCTTCAGATATAACACAATATCATTTTTTTTGCATTATGCAAGTCAGAGGTAATGGTATAATGCCAATAAGCTAATGTCAGTGCCAGCCAGGGAGGAGAAAAAAGTTTTCTAGATTCTTGACCAAATCTTAGCTCAGCCTACATCAGCCTTGTCCTAAAATTATACAAATAGAAAAAAAGTGAGATGCTTACTGCCTCAAGTCATGTTAAGACGTAAGTCAACAGGCTTATTAAGGTGGAATTCACAATTTTTGTTTTGAATGGCAGTGGAAGACCATCAGAAAAACTGAGTTTCCAAGAGGAAGGAAAAAATCCTGGTAGGTTCAAAATCTTTCTTCAGCTCTGACATAGACCGTGTTTGTTACATAAAGTTAAATTCCCAGTTTCTGTTCAATCTCATCAAAAAACTCTCATGCCACCAGACAAGTTCAGTTCCAATAAAAGCAGCAGAATGAGACGATTCCAAACATTCACAGTCCGTTCACGCTAGCATACGACCTCAGCTTATCCTGTCTATTAGTTATAGTAGGACTCCAGAAACCACCACTGTACTTTCAGTCTACTGTTTTTTTTTAATAGCTTTAAAAATTAAGTACATCAGTCTCATAACTTTGTAGAGAATACGCACGCTGAATTCTGAACGACAATGTCTCCCCCTCTGACCCACGCTCCATTGTCGTTATTTTTAAAAGCAATGAGCCTGTCAATTAAAGCAGCCACACGTGGCTTTTCAGGGTCTGCATCCTGATGAGGCCGAAACCTTGAGGATGGGAGGAAAAAAAAAAAAGGACTTTTTATAAAAGGCAATGGAAATCTGACCTTGATAGTTGTTAAGCATAAGTGTCAAGAAGGATTTAAATTTGACCAAGAGAGTAAAACAAACAAATTTTAAGGTACAACTTAATTATTTGCATTTCAAATATCGATAAAAATTACATTTATTTATACAAGTTTTCAGAGAACTGCTTTAATATCTTATACTATAGAATGGAAACTGTTGAACTTTCTAAGCACTAAAACCATTCAAAACAAACAAAAATATCTCAGACCAGAAAATCTAGCATGTTTTCTTAAACTACATGATACTAATATAAACTTACTAAATAAATCAGTCATACACTTCAACATACATATATGTGAACTGAAGTATTATCTGAGTTTGTAAAGGTGAAATGTTTTAGATACAGAGATAAAGCTGGGTACAGTATCTTTAAATGCCTAAATTTAAAACAGATTGTATTTAATTGACTTACTAATTGAAACAACTAAATTTTACCTTTTCTTTCTCTCCCTCCTAAAACATTTATAAGACCCTTAACAAAAAGGTCCAAAAAATTGATGCCAGAACTGTCCACTGTAACAACTCAAATAAAATCCCATAAGGCCACCTATTTAAAAAAAAAGATCATTCCTATCTTAATCTTACAAAGCTGGGGGACAAGTAGGGAGAAACAACTAGACAGCTTTTCAAAAACCAGTTCAGCAGACTGAGATGTGCCATGATACGATCAGAAAAATTCCCTGCACAAGGGCTACCACTGCAGTTGCTGGCATGTAGTAGGTGCTTATAAAGGTGTGTGATGGGAAAAGAGGATATGTACAGACGACAGCAAGTGCAAAGGTCCTTCAGCATGAGAGAGCTTGAAATGTTCAAGGAACAATAAGCAAATTGGCTAGGGAGTAATCAGCAAGGGGGAAGGGAAAGAGAGGTGGGCATGTGCCAGGCAGGGATGTGGTTCTTTATTCTAAATGCAATGGGAAAATCAGAAAGTGGAATGGTGGTTCCCAGGGGCTGGGAGGAGGGGAAAATAAAGAGGTGATGGTTTAAGGGAGCAGAGTTTTAGTTATGCAAGATAAATACTAGAAATACACTATACAGCATAGTGCCTACAGCTGACAATACCGTATTATATGCTTAAACTTTGCTAAGAGAGCAGATCTTACGGTAAGTATTATTACTACAAAAAAGTTAGTTGTTTTTTTTAATTTTAAAAACAAAAACAGTAAAGGGAGGTGATGAATGTACCTTCAGCCTCGATGGTGGTAATAGTTTGGGTTGTATACAAATGGATACAAACCCATCAAGTTGTATACATTAGATATGCACAGTTTCTTACATGTTAATCATACCTCTATAAAATGGGTAGATAAATAAACTGATAAATAATAAATAAATGTTAAGAAAACTCACTGGTCTCATGGTATCAGGCAAGTATGATATGACTGGATTTCACTGTTTTTTGTTTTTTTTAAACTGGTCACTAGCTGCTACTTAATGAAAGGACTGTGAGAGTGGACAAGTGGAGACCAGTCTGGGGTGCATTCTGTCAACCCCAAGGTTGTATATATGACCCCTTACACTGAATAGCTCTGACCTAAGAGGTAAAAGTGTGACTCTGAGCCATTGCCCAGTTTTCTGGCACGGTAGTTGCTACCAAATAGCTTTGTAGTCATTACGTAACATCAAGCTGATGGAAAGATACTACACAAGGTGCTAAAAGAAAACCTAAAGAAAGTACCATAAAGCAACATCGGATTCTCTGCTGGAGCCACCTCATTTTTTCTGAAATACTATCTAATCATTGACTCCTTGCTTAGATACCCTTTATTTTCATCCTCTTTCTCCCTTGATGTGTAGAAAATACAGTTCATTTTCCAAAATGTACATCATCCTCACTTATGAGCTTCCAGTACACCTCCTAACCTTCCGTAATTGTCCTCTGCATTGAAAGTACTAGTTGGTTCTCATGTTCTTTCACTCTTTTAGATGAACTTTCCCAACCTCAAACAGAGCTTTCTTGATTAGGATTTCCCGTCTTTGCATTCCTGTAATTTCACATCTTGAAGACACTAGGAAAGGCTGCTGAGTCAACTTCGCCTTTGATGAGCAGACTAAATATCTTCTGGATCCCATGAGCCTGATGTTTAACTCATAAGCTGGCTTGTTACTCATTTGTGTTAAGAGTTATATCATTTTTACTCATGTCTGGACTGCCTGAAAGCGTGTGGGCTTAGTTTACATAAAATTAAATGTATACACCAGCTGCCTCATGTCTTGTTACTCTTCTCCTTTAATTGGTTCTTTTCAATAATGATTTCCAAATAGAGTCTAATTCGTTTCTAATATGTTTACATTTATAAACTGGTAGGAGAAATAATGGAGAGCAGCGGAAAAATTCCATTATCATATCATATATGCACACCTGGTAAGGAACTTCTTTGGCATTATGGATAGTTTTTACTGTCAAGTCTAATTAAAATATCAATGGATTCTGAAATATATTTTCTCATCCATCCATTCATATACACAGAAATTACTTTTTAGGCAGTGAAGAGAGTCAGCTATGTTGTGCTTAAGGGTTTTTCTATTTATACTAACTTAGCAAAGTACACATTACTAGTTCTACCAGTTATAATCAACTCTTATAAAAAGCAGGAACAACCTTCTAGCAAAGATTTGTTTGTTTTACCAGCTAATATTCTCTTCTTGGTTCATAACTTATTGTCATCTATATGATGCATTTTCTTATCTCCTCTATTTTTCCATGTCATATTTGGCTCAGCTATTAAGTGTCTGATACCCTACATTTTATTTAAGGAATGCCCACAGCTCCTCAGCTTCTCAACTGCTTTAATATTTCAGGCTCAACTTGACCTTTAAGGAGTCCTGAGGAGTAATTTTTACTAACTATACTCTCCCCAGTTTTCTCCTGGCCTCATGCCTTATTTCCTTGTTCCAAGAATCTTGCCTCACAATTACATTGACTCACCAACCTGCAGTGTGGCTCCTACTTATCCCCTTGTGAACAAAGGGCCTGGCATCCTTCACTGTAGTATCTATCAACAGAGCCTATTAAATCCATCACCCTTTCAAATCCATTAAGTTGGTCGATCAACTTGACATATAGAAAAATAACAGTTTCTACTGAATGTGACTTGAAATTGCCTTCTTTTCCAGAAAATTTTATTTCCACTGGAGACATTTGATTGACTTTGGCTCATTGGTAGCATGTAAGACAACTTCATGGAAATGCTGACCCATATCCCTACCACATTCTGTGGCTGTAAAGGAGGGGACCACAGAGTCCAGCTCTGATGGGAGTCTGTGACTCCAAACGACTGAATCAGAAGTCACTTGGTCATCAAGTTTGAGACCTTTCCCTCCGACTTGGATCTGATGCAGTGCTTCATTCTGACCACTAACAATAAATTCTATATGCCTTGGTGTTCAGGGATTACACTAAGACATCTTAGCTTAACTTATTTTTCAGTGAATCATATTCTATGTAGGCCAAATTTTGGACTCTTTCTCAACATCTCTCTTCTTTCTCTTCCTGCAAACCTCTATGACCTTATTTTACAATGGTGAAAAAATGAAAAGGCATCAACTTCTTTGGCATCTCAGTAAGACAGAAAGCTCAGGTCCTAGCAGAGAAGAAGAAATGTTTTTCCAAAACCCTCCTATAAAAACTTCGAAAACTTCCATTTAAATGTGTTGCTGAAGAATAGAGCACAGTGGCTTAACTCTGAAAGTTCTGATTTGGCAAGATTCGGCCTGAGTAGTTCAGAAGGAGCAGCTCTACCTGGCACTGTTATCCAAACAGAGGTATTCCCTTGGGTCAGCAGCACTAGCGTTGCTTGTTTTGACACCTTTGTCAATAAATAAGCCAGCCTGGAAGATATAATCATGGACTGAAATGAATGTGAATCCCAAGTTAATACCTACATATACATATATATGTATATATACAATGATTCATGAAATTAGTTTTAGCTTATCACATCTACCAAAAAAAGCAGGGAGGGGAATGAACAGCAAAGCAATGGTATTTTGAAAACAGCTACTTTCCTGTATATTTCCTTAATTTTGCTCACTGAGTCCTTCAACAAACATTTGTTTTGTGCCTGTCTTGTGGTAGACACCAAGCATTACGTATCAGTAAGAAAACCATAGTCTTTGCTGTTACACATAAACTAGCAGGAAGACATGCAATTAAATAAACAATTATAATCTGATATGACAAGCAGATGAAACGGAAGGAGATGATGCTTCAGCAGCACATAAGAGAGGGACCTTTGTCATGGGTGAGAGAGGGAGGCGTCAGGGAACTCTCCTGAAAGACGTGACCTCCTAAAGCCGACACCTGAAGAATAAGGTGGAATTAGCCACTCATGAGAATGGGCTGGGGATGAAGGGCAGAGTGGGTGGGAAGCAGCTGAAGAACCCAGAGGAAGTACTCAAGGAAATTGTTTGTACACCCAGTCTGTACAAGAGAGACAGCACGGTACATAGGAGGGAAAAAAATGGACTTCGATGGACTAACTGGAAACATATGGCGAAAGGACAGGAAAGGAACAAGGTCACAGAGAAGTAAGTGCCAGCTGACGAAAGTCAACCTGCTAAAAGGTCAAGACAAGGGGACTTGTAATAAAGGCAAGGAAGCAACTGCAGTTTAGAAAGAATATTCTAGCTACAGGATGGATAATGGACTAGATAGGGACCGTAAGAGATAAGGTAGGAGAGACTGTAGTAATCCAGAAGGAACATAAAGATGGTCTAGAGACTTGCAGCAGCAGTAATGGGGAAAATGGATAGAGTAGTAGTAGAACTGATACCATACAGTATTTAACAGACTATCTAAGGTGAAGGTGAGGGAGCAATACAGGTTCATCTATTTCTAGTCTGGGCAATTAGCGGGCTAATGGTTTCACCCACTGAAACAGAGATACAGGAATGGATCTGCGGATAAAAGTAATGATTTTAGTTTTCAGCCTATTTTCTTTATGTGTCCCCAAGACATCCAAAAGGTACTCAGCTGCCAGTCAGACAGGTGTGACTGACCTGGACTAGACACAGATTTGGGAGGACTGAGCATAAGGGTGAGCATTTGTGTATTTATGATGGATGCAAAGATGGTAGGTTACTCTCTGAAGACTCCACGTGCCTTCAGCTATGAAGTATCATTCTGGATAGTCAGACCCAAATTTAACAAATTAAAATCTAATCATCAACTCATTACTTAGATCTAATATTCTTACAATTAATAGATTACCACATGTCCTCATAGTATATGATATTAAAAAGTTAATTAGAATGAGATATTTTTTATACCACTTATAACTAGAAAATATTGAGGCTTTCCACTTGAAGGACTACTTTCAATAATTATTAGTTTTAATCAACTAACTCTATTCAGCTTATAAAAACTGTAAGTCTGTGTAAAGCATTCTCCTCACTCAAGTCTTCATCAAGTGATTGTACACTCTTCAAATTATAACAAACTCAGATTTGGAAGCTCCTTTGAGTATCATAGATAGAAAGTATTAATTGAACTTCAAAGTGGATCACATCAGGGTAAAGAATCTGGGCACTGTATCATATAATGAAAACATCAAAGTGCCTTTTGAGCACAAAGGAACCAAATGTATTTACCACCAGGGAGGCGGGGTTAAGTGCCAAATATCATGGAAACTGGGATTTCTAAGTGGCCTTTAGTTTATTTATCTGCGTCATTTTAAATTAGGTCAAATATCTTAATACTAATTATGTAGTGAGATAATTGCTTAATTGCACAATCGGACACTCTCAGCACTGTGACCTCAGAGAGAGAGCACACATGGTTCTTAGCCCCCAGAAGCATATGATCTAACATGTACATCCCTGAAACATACAGTGACATTAAAGATTGGAAGGAAGGTGAGAGGAAGGAAGGATTGAGAGAGGGGACGAGGACAAAAGCCCATCATTGTAATTACACAGATTGTATAAGCATGTGAGTTTTGGCATATATTCCTGTGTAGGTACAAATGCTGTATATACACCCAGAATGTTGTTTTTTTTAATCACAAATTACTTTCTCTGATGACAAGTTCTACCTAAAACTGACATGTCTCAGTTGGAAGCACAGCAGTCTCCATCCTTTACCTTGTAAATCACACATACTGTTTGTTGAAACTTAGGAACTTACCTTAAAACTTGAATGGACCCTGTTGTTATAAAATATACCCAATGGAGTGAGCTCTGGTTTTGCTAAGAGCTGCAAGCCAGTGGACTCCCCAGTAGGTTCCTTGTGGAATAAATACCATATTCCAGCATCCTATAATTAAAAGGGCAAGCTCATTAAAAGCCTTATTTTATAAAGCTACCTCTATGGAACACCCACAATAAACAAAGTGCTTCACAAGCAAGTTTCATCTTTTAACACCTATGTTTCATCTTTTCAGGTTCAGAATTGACTATACAAAGTTTAGCACTCAGCTGGCACTGTCAAAGCATTATATCGTGCTCTACAAACAAAAAAAGTTCATTTAATCTTGCTTGCAGAATTGCAAAGAAATAACTGACTGGTACCAAGACTCACTTTCAAAAATAACTTCTCCATCAATATCAACTTGAACAAGTTATGCAGAATTAGAACCTAACAGACCTTGCTTCCCTCCATGTGACCAGGATAGCACAGCCTTTTAGCAATACGGGTGGTTTTTCTGTTTACCTCCAAATCTGATCAGTAGATGAGTCATACCCATTAAACAACTATCCACCGACACACAGAGCTCACTGACTTCTTTCAAACAACTCCAATGCCCTTCCTGTCCTGAGGCCAATTTTTGCCAAAGCGAAAAAAAAAAACCACCACATGCATGAATCGAGATGCTGTCTCCCTCTGGATCCTGCCTGTTCCATTTCAGTATTACTGACCTTAACAGGAGCAGCAGAACAGTTGGAAACGTCTCGGTATTCAAAATGATATAAATATCAAAACGAAATGTCCTCAGTCCCCGTGACAATCTTTTCTTTTACAATTCCGACAATCTTTTTTACAATTTCAGTAAAAAACAGTGCAATGTGAAGGGTAACTTCACATCATGGAACTTCAATTAAACAGGTTGTTAAAACTTACACATATAGTCTAAGGTATAGCACTGATTCAAATTTTGCAAACATTTACTTAGCGCTCACTATGTGCCAGGTGTACATTATGATTCTTCTCAAAGAATTCATTGTCTAACGAGACATACAGAGAGAACTGAAATACAATCAATGTAATAAATACTATATTAGTTGTAACAAATTGAGTCCTTTAGGAGCATCGACAGATGCAAAGCATATATACCTACCCACCAAAATGGATGCAGTAGTTAACATTTTTCCATGATAAAAACTTACAGATGGGTCTTAAGAAAACAAACTGCTCTGAAAAATATGATTACCACCACCACTCTTTCGGGCACAAAAGAGGCAATGGAAGAAGACTTGGAGGGTTGCAGAGATGGCTCCATACCATAGCCCTGTAAGCTGAGGGCACAGTGAACCCTCTGGGGTGCATGGTGGGGTGGGGAGTCGAGGGTAGCAGCCATTTCCAGTTAAACACAGTGGTGTCAAAATGGGTGAAGGGACGTTTGTGAACAGCAGTGGAAAGGTACAAGAAAAAAGAGTTTGATTATTTTGGGAGGAAAACCCTTGCCAAAACATCAGCTTTACTGGAACAGTTTCTCTAGAGTAAAAAGAAAGAAAAGCTCAGAATGGAAAGGATGGATACATAGGTGGAAGAGACAGAGACTTGCTTGCTTCTTTTCTCATATGAGCCTAAGGAGGGGTTTCTGGCAACCTTAGTTGACATTTTTCAAAGACTGCAATTTGCTTTGATCTTCAACCCATGACTTCTGAAAACAACTAAAGGAATCTCAGCTCTGGCTGTTCACTTGGAATCAACACCAATCAGAAGATGATCCTGAAGTACTACTGCCCTTCAAACTCGGTCACCTTCACCCAAAAACTCATTTTCTAATTAGAAATTCCCAAGACACACCACATATGGGATCAACAAATATTTGAGGAAAAATGAATTAATGGAAACGTGGAATGATTAAATGTCCAGGTCTCTGCCTTGTCAAGTAAGAATTTTAGGTTTTAGGTTTTTAAGGAAAATCATGGATATGAATTCCACTGGCACCCAGTGAAGCCTTATTTCAGTTATCTCAGAGAAATACTCCCTTCAGCCAATCTTTTACTCTGACCTGGGAAAAAATGCTACGTATTTCTTTCCTTTTTAAAATTTTAATAGCCATGATGTCTGCATATGAGTATGTAGGCATTGCTGCAAAGTATATATTTCTGTACTATAGTCTTCAGCACAGATTTAATCATGTAGTAAATATCTTAAAGATTCATTTTATTTTTAAAAAGTAGCATTTTTAAATCACACTTTATTATAAATATAAATTTCTACAAGTTTACCCAGGACACATTTCTGCCATCCAAAAACAGCTCATTTATTCTTTAAGTTAGTCACGTGTGTGTGAAATGATACAAGGCACACAGTTAACAGCACCCAGATGAATTTAGCTGCTTTAAGGGGATAAAATCTCCAAGTGTACATGCCCCCTGCATTTAACAAAATATGTGCCCTTGACCAGAATGACAGCTGTCATAGTATTCTGCAAAACAATCCATTACCATTAAGAAAAGCTAAGGCTTTCTTTGTTCATCAGACTGAAAACTGAAACAATCAATTACCTGGCCACACATGAATTAAATATGAGAAACCAGAAAGACTGCACAGAATACATTAAAAACACACTCTGGAGAAGACAGGTAGGGACACTGTGGCATCTTACTACACCGATGGACAGTGACTGTAATGGGCTATGGGGGGGACTTGATAATAAGGGTGAATGTAGTAACCACATTGGTTTTCTTATGAAGACTTCATTAGAGTGCATATTAATGATACCTTAATAAAATAAATAAATAAGTCACAGGGATGAAAAGCAGAGCATAGGGAATATGTAGTCTGTAATAGTATCTTTGTATGTCACAGACAGTAACTACACTTACCTTGGTAAGTATTTTGCAATATATGCAATTGTCAATTCACTATGTTGTACACCTGTAATCTATATAATATTGTATAATTTTAAAAAAACACACTCTGGAGATGGTAAGATGATCATAGATATCAGCCCACCTCTTTTCCTCCACTTGGCATCCGCCTTATGGTACTCATAGGTACTAACTGGCGTGAATGATTTAGAAGCAATAGAAGAAATCATCTCAACCATATCCCGTTCTCAACTAAACAAGCAGGACCAGAAAATAAGGTCATGCTTGATTAGTCTGCCACACATTACTTTATACCCATACAACCAGAGCATTTATGACATGAATACAAAACTGAAAGGACTTCAATTATTATTTACCTGTGAGCCTGCAGCTGCATTACTAATCAGATTATTGTTGGGATGAGCAATCCAGAAAGTTGAAACCGCCCTGCAAGGCATTTTTTAAGGTGATTGAGACATTTGTCATAAAAAATCCTGCCCACTAAAAACATCCCCCAAAAATGCCTTCCCCACAAGTCGAAGGACTTGACCATCCCACTGTTTTTCTCTCTGGCCGTTACTCACATGCAGTCAGTGGCAGGTACAGGGACATAACTTCCAAACACCTTCTCTCGCAAGGTGGTGCACATGGAGTTATTCCTGTCAGTGGGGAGGAGGGTCCCTGGCTTGGTGAGGAGTCCCAGATTGTGAAACAGAGTATTTCTCTGTTCAACACCATCTTCCAAAAAGAAACAATGACCTAGAGTGTCGAATCCAATGGTGTCTTTTATCTGCAGAAATACAGGGGTATAATGTCATTGGTAGCAAGGCTGATTGTGGTTTAAGTGGCATGTGCTATTCCTGTAGCATGCTCAGTAGGTATGCAAAAACTAGCTTAAATCTTAACTGAAGAGGCAAAGTCAAATGTCAGGTTTGACTGACGTCTTAAGAGAATAGAGAAAAACAGCAGAATTCTCAGTAAAAGCAGGAGCGGGTAAGGCATGTGGGGTAACGGCTTACTTACGTAAAATTGAGGAGTCCTGAGACTGAAGGAGAGCTAGCTTTCAGCAACAGGCACCAGCATAATGTTATGTGAGGCTACTTACCAGCAAGCCATTTGTCCCATGCACAGTGATGCATCTTGAGAAGCTATGATGAATAGACAGGCCGTCCACAAAGGTTGTGGGTCTGTACCCTCCTTTATGATCCACGTCACCACACAGGTGGAAATGAACCGGATACCGGCCCAGGTGCTGCTGCCCCATGTGTTTCAGTTCCACGTAAGAAAGATGAACTGAAGTAAAGTTTTTCCTTATCTACAAGACAGGATAACCAAAGTCAAACTGATCCATTTCAAAATAGCAAAGCAGCAAAGAAACCTGTTTTAGTAGGAAATGTCTGACGGAGAATACATGTTAAAATATTTATTGTCTTTCGCATCCTGTTTGCCTGTATCTCCAGTTAAAAAGGTAACAAAGGCTATGATATTGTATATTACAGCAAGTACACTTCAATTTAAAAAAAATTTTTTTAATAATAATGCAACAAAAGTTTCTTTACCTAAGTGACTACTTTATAGAGCCAGAAAAAATAGCCACTTGTTAGCAATAATGGAAATGTAACCAGGAAAGTTCAGATATGAGTTCTGTATACATTCAAATTTGGTCATTTCCAATCTCATCTTTTTCTTTCACCTCTATAAATTCAACTGTAGTTTGATAGTTATGTCTAAATCCTCCCTCCATGTTTTAGTTAGTATATAATATTGTTTACTTCAGTTCTTTCTTAAAAATTCCTGTGACCTATAATTGGAGCACTCTTTAAACACTGGATTTTCAATCATACATCTAAAAAACAAAGGAATTGACTGGTATCTCAGAAATCAGTGTAACAGAAATGTTGCTAACCACCACACAGCCTACTCAATGCACAAAAACTGTTTTTAAAACACCGGTAGCCAAGTGTAACCCAGAAAGCCCAAAACATAAGTACAGAGAGCAATGTTTACCACATACAGTGTACAACACTTCTAGAGAATAAAGATCTTCACACAAAACATATTCTTACAGAAACATATTTTGTATGTGTGTATTACTACTACCCACACTTTCATATCATTATGTTTTAAAAAGAACCAATTGGTTCTTTCAGAGATCACATGAATGGACACCAAGATAATTTTTTGTGTGTGGGGGGGGTATTTTTATCTCTGTGTGATTGGTTCTTCCCAGTGCAAACTGACTTAATTCTTGGAACAATTCTTAAATGGATTAACTACAGGTCCAGGTTAGTATTTGACAACTAGGGTTTTAAAGAACTCATTAAATGCTTTGCCTACCATGATATGTCCCCCAAAAGTATCATAATCAAAGAACTGGCACTGGTTTTCAGCATAGCAAGAGTCTTCCATTTCTCCTTGGATGACAACATTCCGGGTAAGAATTCCAACCTCAGCTCTCATGTCTACACCATCTATGATCTCACCCATGTGCAGGAACTGAGGGGTTTCTGGTAGATGTGGGCAAGGAAAAAAGAATATAAGAACAAAGAAAACACAAAACTTACATCAAAAAGACAGTCTTTTTTATTCTCTAACTCCAAGACCTTATCAAAATGTACTACCTGCCTCAGAACCACAGAATCCCAGGAAGCAAGGATTTTAAAGATTATCTAGTCTCACTACCCACCCAATACCTGAACCTTCATTAACACCTATCAAACCCACGCATAGACACACAGCTTGTTCCTCCCTAAAGATGCTCCATCCTCCCCTGACCAGCACCAATAATATGGAATCTGCCTAAGAATCCATATGGGTCCTGCCCACATGCTCTTGCTCTATTCCCTTGAGAGCTCATGAACAAATGTATGGGGAGTCCAGACAAACTAAGGGTTTTGTAGACGCTGCGTTTCAGGGCATCAAATTGTTTTTGCTTCTACTTCAGAGCTAAAATAATCTGCATTTGGACATTAACTGGAAAGAAATTACCAACTTTGCTTCCCCATTTATTTTAATATTATTATGCACTCAAAAATTCCCACCTTTCTTAGAAATTTAGAAACACTTTCCTAATGAGCTTTTTCTCCAATGTTCTTATTGCATAAACTCAGGAAGGAAAAAAATACAAATAAATCAAGGAGTTGAGATCATCAGAGAGTCACTTATCATGTAGACTTGTTAACAAGAATGGGAATTCCCAAACAAAACCAATGCCAGATGGTATCATAGTTTGGGGCTTTTGTTTTTGCTTATTATCCAAAAGGAAAAGTACAACACAGAATGAAACACAGAGGAAAAGAGCCAGGCGAGCCCCTCATCCTATTTTTTTAAAGCAAATAATTTTCCCATAAACCTCAAAACTCTGAATTAACCTGTGAGTACTTATTATATAGTTACTATAAACTCTTAAGTACAGAGCAAGGAAAGCAATATAATGAGTGAAATGCACAATGCATCCCATCATGGAGGCAACATATGAAGACACCGGCCAGTTAACCGGGCTCGGAATAAGCACCTGACAAATGTGAAGCATTGTTCATAAGCACAGCTAACAGCAAGAATCTCACTGCACATTGCACTCCCCCACAAAAAGCATTAGTCAAGATTATGACAGGAAATACTGGCTTATGAAAATACCTTCTTGGTTCCATTTTAAAAATGTGTGAGATCTACTTTTTGCCAAGGAAGTAGTCAGGCACTCAAAAAACATGAGTTTGTTTGTTTTTTTTAATTAAAAAGAAAGAATTGATAAATGAAGTAGTTATAGTTGGGTTTGGCTCTTGGTGGGGCGGGAGGAAGGGTCAACCCGCCCAGTCCACATCTATTTTGTTTTTAAAAAAAGAAACACTGATTTGCCTGCTATATATCATACACCGCAACCCTACTGCTCTGTAAGTACAGTACTTGTATCCAACAACCTCTGGGGTACAGCGTTCAAAGCACCTTCTGCTCAGACCTTCAATATGGAGGGTGGTGGTGGTGATGACGGTGGTGGAGAAGGAGAAGAAGAAGACCGGGGGTGGGGGCGGCATGGGGAGGGACTCCAGCAATCAAATCCCAAGAAAAGAGTATTTTCCAAGCAGCATCATGAGCAGTCTGATACCTTTGGCTTTGATCTGGAAACGGCTGCACTCCGGACAGGGCAGAAGCGTGAATTCCTCTGCCTGGTACATAGAATAGTCTGTGCTAGCGACCACAATCTGGTCTCCAGGTTTCCAGCTACTAACATCGTTCAGCAGATGAAGCTTCACTCCATCCACCACCTCTACGCGGAAACCTGAAAAGGAAACACCTACACCAGCAAGCAGGCAGGAAAGAAGGCAATGAGTTAGCAGGAATTTTTTTTTTTCCCCTAAAACCAACCCCCTCACAGATTCACAAATTAGAAGATAAGATAAACACAAGTCAGCAAAGTTTTACTAATGCTAACCACGTGCCAGTCATTCTGCAGATACTGATGATAGAAAGATGAAAATACAGATCCTCGTCCCCACGTCCCCCTAGCCACAAGGGGTATGAGATGTCACATTTCAGCGAACTAATCTTGAGTGATTTTGCTAAAGGCTCTGAATCCCCACAGCTCTTGTTGTATTTTAACTTAGTACTTCGACTGTCACACTGCTCCCAAACCATCCTAAAATGTCATAAAAACATCATACTCAGTAGATACTGTCGAACAACAAATAGGTTTATAATAAATACGCAGTATTGTGATTTGATCCACACACAGGACAGGATGAGTGATAGGACATTATCACACACATAACGCTGAGAAAAAAACCTTCCCTCAGGCAATCTCTCATTTCTGTGCCTTTGCTCATGCTTCATCCTTTATCTACAAGGTCCTTTCACTCTTAATTCACCGACCGAGATATTATCCACCTTATAAAGCTCAGGTGAATCTTTAAAGATTTTCCATACATCCTTGCTGGAAGGAGCCTCTCTCCAGGATTCTCATTCTGCTATTCACACCTTCGCAATGGGGGAAGAGCACACCTCCTTGGATACATCCATCTGTGTATTCACTACTCTGTCCACCTCCCAGTGCAGACTCGCAGGTGGTCTGCTGAAGGGATGAGCATTCCCATGGTGATCTGCAACTGACCCGAAGGCCACCTGATAGTGCCCTGGCCAACTCAGCCCCCCGCCTGGGGTAAGATCAACTGCGTGATCCGGGGACTACGAATTACTCCTCTCTCCTGATACCTCCCCTTTTGAAACTCAAAGTTGGCTCCCAATTAGGCAATGAAAACTGAAAAATCAATTCAACATCTCCATAATGTACACTTTTTTTTTAAGCCACCAAGTGTAGAAACATTTCCCTCTTCTAAAACATCTGCAGTATAATCTGTCCTAAGCCACAGGCTGATATAATGCAAATGTATTCAGAATAAATAGAAGCCACCTCTTAACACCAGTGGAGAAGGTAAAACATCCCTTTCCAAAGATACCTGTTTACTAAATATCTGTGCTTCACCATTATATCCTTCTAATTAACTGGCATACAACTCGGGGGCTACTTTAACATACTGACTCTAAGGGTCAGTGGCAGAAGTGAAAAAACACATTTACTTAAATTAAGGGAATCAAAAAGAGGGAAATTCAGGCAAAGGACAAGCAATCACACAGACATCCTTACAGCCATGAGCCAACTATCCTGATTAAACCTAATCTGAACAAGTCTTGGATTCTGTTTCTTTAGACTCTCATCTACCATACCTTTCTGTTTCTACCAAGCACCAAAAGAAAGGTACCTAATAAAAGTAAAGGGCTTTCTCTTTCTTATAATGTTCCTTGCAACCAGATACTAAAACTTATAATGGGATTTTGTCTAAATAATATCAATAATAACTGTAAAAGCAGCTAACAGTTGCTAAGATTGCACACGCTTAAGAACTTTTCATCAGAACAACTTGGGGAGAAAGGAATTTTATATCCCTTAGAGATGAAAAAAACCAAAGGTCAGAGAGTTTGAATAAACAGCTCAAAAATCGTACAGCACAGAACTGGACACTAACTTAATTCCAGAGTCCAACTGGAATTCTGCTCTCTCAAGAATCAAAACAGACAGGTTAAGAACTAAGAGAACGGGGAGGATGGGTGGGAAGGGAAGGATAAGGGGGAAAAGGGGGCATTACCATTAGCAGACATTAGGTAGCGGGGGTTAGGGGACCACAGGGGAGACTGTACAACACAGAGAAGACAAGTAGTGATTCTATAGCATCTTACTATGCTGATGGACAGTGACTGTTAATGGGGTATGTGGGGGAGATTTGATAATGGGGGGAGTCTAGTAACCATAATGCTCATGTAATTGCAATTTAATGATACCAAAAAAAAAAAAAAAAAAGAACTAAGAGAACCAAAACCTCATGGCAGCAATGACTATGACTATCACTACCCAAATGTTCAGATTTTACTCACCACCCCCCAAAATAATAATCTTAAAAGGGGTAATTAAAATACTAATTTTTTCATATCAAATTTCTATGATGCTTTAAGAAAGGATTACTAGATAAATAAATTTTGACTTAAAAGATCATTAGAATTTGTTCCTGTTTAAAAAAAATAGTAAAGCCAGAAGGTTAGATGGGGAAGATCTGCATTATTCAATAATTCCTCTCTTTTTCTGGCTTCAGAAGAAAATCCCGCCTAAGATTGTCTCCTATTGGCACTACTGATTTGCAAGTATGAAAGGAAGTAAGTTTATCCTCCTCATTCCCTCGAGAGAATTTCCACCTCTTCTAGAAAGGAAAAGTCACCGAGAACATGGGACACAAGTCATATCTGATGACAGACAGCTAGAATGTACCCTCTTCCAGAAATGAGTGGTCATCGGTAATGTGGAAATGCACAACAAAACTTCCCACAGAGGAAATGTGACTCAAGGTTTGTCAGTCATTAGCCTCTGCCTGGAATCTTACTGGCAGTAGTTCCATGAACTCTTAATGCAGGTCCAGATTCCTGCTAAGAAATGCTTCTCTTTTGCTTTTTGCCAGAGGCAACCATGAAGTAATGGTTAGAGCAGAAGTCCTGGAGGCAGAAACCTGAGGCTTGATTCCAGCTTCCTCCTCCATTACAGATCCATCTCCTCACCCCAAACCCACCCCAAACATGGAAAAGTCGCTGCACGTACACGGAATTCTATTTGTTTTAAAATAAAAGACTTTCTCTAATTATAATGATACAAAATACACTATTATCCTTTTGGCATCATCATTAAAATAGCTAACATTGAGTGCTTACTATGTATGTGTTATGCTAAAAACTTCCTATTCTTCACATTTGATTATTTTGAGCAGCCCTATGTGACAGTTTCTATTATCCCCACTTTTCAGATGAAGAAGCTGAGAGTTAGGAAGTTAAAGTCACATTCTTACCATCATATAACAAGTAAAGGAGCTAGGAGATGACCCAGACATTCTGTCTCCAGAAATCCATTTTAGTAAACACTTGGCTACATTGTTGCTCAAATCAGAGGTATGAGCCCAGTCTAAAATAAACTTTTCTGGATAATTACAGATGTAATAAAGCACCTCTTACTAATTTTGCATAAATTTTGGTTAAAGTATCTGGTTGGAAAAGAAAGGTGGTGGACAAGCATGGACAGGAGGCTTGTCAATCAATCCACACCTGGAGCCAAAAAATCTTGCTATAAAATGGGTAAGTAAAAAAAAAAGTCCACAGTGAACATTCTTAGAAGAAAAAAGTCAGAAGTTCCCTAAACAACCAGGGCTAGGTATTACTCAAACAATTAATAGTTCTTCTGAAAGATGGATCATAATAAAAATTATGTTGAAGAACCTAAGGTAACCTTATAGTACCTTATTTAAAGAGAGGAAAACAAAACCAAATGAACACTAGGGAACAAAGAGAATATAAAAAAAAAAATACTAGATTATCTGCATCAAGATAATTATCTCTGAGTGAGAGGGTTAAAGATTAATTTTTCCTTTGAACTTTTCTGTTTCCCAATTTGTCCCTAATATAAACGCATTAGCTGGGTCATCACGGAAAAATTACTAAGAAAATGAGGTTTGTTTGCAAAGCATGAGTTCAAAGGTATTATTTACTGATCGCTGGCATGACTACATAAAGAGAAGAGTGAAAGTATTACAGAATGTTCACTGTCTTGGAACATAAGCAAAGACAGCTCACCTGTCACACCCAGATTGGTTCAACTGGTATCAAATTAGGAAACAAATCACTTCTAACTAGTTCAGCCCATTACATGCTTCAAGAATCATGAACCAAGTCCAGCTGGGGGGTACCTAAACTAGAATAGATCATCCTCTAGTCCAGAGAGAACTCTTAAGTCTCAAAGATCAGGTACAGTAGGGAAACTATAGTTCTCCTCTTCAATCAGTTGAGAAATCTAACCAGATTGCCATTTGGATACAGCATCACTTAAAAAAATCTGTCTCAACTGGTGGTTGCCAGAGGGTTTGGGGGTGGGGTTTAGTCAAAACAGATGAAGGGGATCAAGAAGTACAACCTTCCAATTATAAAATATAAAAGTCATGGGGATGAAAGGTACAACATAGGGAAATACAGTAAAAAATATTATAATAATTTGGTACGATGACAAATGGTAATTATACTATGAGGAGTACTATATAATGCATATAAATGTCAAATCACTTTGTTACACACCTGACACCATTATAATATTATGTCACCTATACTTTATTTAAGAAAAAAACCATCTGTCACAATACTTACCAAGGTCTTCCAAGGGTAGAACCTGTACTTGCTTACCTTCAATCCATTCACTGTAAGCTGTCACTGCGAACTTCTGACCCTCCATAGTGTAAAATTCTCTTCGGGCAAGAGCCTTCCCTCCACTACTATGGTTTTCATAGTTTCTCACAGATTCATTGCAAGAAGTACTTCCGCCGTCAATGACACCGACCAAAGCCCAGGCTTGCCTAGAAGAAAAAATAGCCCATGCATTTGATTATTTGTCACGATACTGACCCAAATCCCTGACCTGGATGTGACGTCAGGTGCTGTTAACAATTCTCATCTCATTTTTGCCAGTCCTTCCAACCTCTTCTTCCATGTGAGGTTGCAAGTCCAAATCCTGAATGAAGTGACCGACGTCACAGAAGGAAACGCACCTGGATTTTAAGTCCTTGTTTTTATTCAGCTCTGTAACAGGTGAAACACCGATGTGATGACAGTGAATTCCATTAATCACGGACTTCCTTCCTCAGTACACACCCATTTCATGCGCCTATCATCCTGGCCACAAGCGAATTTTTTTTTCCTTCTTTTAAAATGATGATCACCTACTCTCTTTTTCAACTCTACTCTCTACAATGTTCTCAGGTCTGGCTGCATGATAGAATTGCACAGGGAGCTTTAGGAGCGTATCGCTGCTCAAACCCCACCCAGATCCTCTCAATCATAGCCTCTACAGGTGGCACTCAACATTACTATGTTTTTAAAGTTTGCCAGAGAGGAGCTGAATGTGCAGCACAGAATTAAAACTGGTTCACAAACTGCTGAAGGCATCAGGATCACTGGGAGGGCGGTCAAATCCTTCTGCCAGACCCTACCCTCTGAAGTTAGAAGTGGGGCCAGAGTATGCATTTTTATCAAGTTTGTAGGCTGCAGGTCTGGGGACTACACTGAGAACCCCTGAGTTAGAGGTTAGAGGTGAGAGCAGTAGTTATCAACTGCATATCAATTGCCTGGGGGGTCCTAACCCTTTGGAGAGCCTGATGGAAATGTTTTACGGGGTGGGTCTTGGGCATGGAATTTTAGGAAATCTTAGTGTGCAAGTGAGGCTGTGAACCACTGGGTCACTGGTTTCTTAATCCTCAAATTAAAGCCATTTTTCATTATCCAACAGATTTTTAAATTGTACTATGTGTCTACTTGTTGAAAACAATCTATTTGAAAATGCTACTTTATTTCTGTGATAAACATCCCAGGGAACTACTCAAGCTTGTGGCCAAAAAAAAAAGAACAAAGACAAAAAGACTGCAAATTTGCCTTAAGACTCCTGAGTTAAAACATGAAAAGAAAAATGTCAACTTCCTACTCTAGGAAAAAATAAATGCCAAATGTAATCTGTGCCAAGCAGATGGCTGGATATCCACAGATAAAAGTTAACCAAAGCCTACCGCCACTGCACAGATTAGCTACCCATTGGCTGACTATGCTTTATAGCTCTATTTATATTCCTTGATACAGCAGAAAGATGCAAATGAAGAATGTCTATTTATTATCTCCTGTGTGAGAGGAAAGGAGAGGGAAAATACCAGAGGCCTCCTTTATTTACCAGAACTGCCTCAGCAACTATAGAACAACGTTCTGTTCTACTGACATTATCTCCCAAGCCCTCCTACTTCCCTCCTCCACTTGGGGAAAATTTCAACACACCAGAACATTATCTTCAAAGGGGCATGTTTACATACATTGCAGATAATGTCAAAGTAATGAAAGGCTGGCAAAAGATCACAACTCTAATTCCTCTGGCAGATCAGCAGCAGTATTTTAAAGCAAATTTACTCCCTAAATTGCCTTTAAGAGATTCCCAGTAGAGAGAGGAACCAAAAAGGGTCAAAATATTCATAGATAATGATCACATGAATATAGAACAACTGATGGCATAAAGAGACAAAAGCTGTCATCCTTGGCCTTACTGGGTAATGAAACAAAGTGAGTGCCTAACTTTGAAAAGGCCACAGTTCCTCCAAGGTCTATAAATGATATAAATATGTGCATCAAGAGAAGAGTAAGAACATTTGGAGAAGCACTTTTTATAACAGAGGTCCACACTGGAAAACCAGCCAGATGTCCAGCAGTAACCACACCGTGGTGCAGTCATGCAGTAGAGAATAAATAGCAGTGAAATGAGCAGGCACTGCAAGCGACAACATAAATGACAGTAACTGAGAGTTGAGACAAGAAGCCAGACACAAAATAAGATATAATGCCTGCTTGCACTTAAATGAAGTTCAGAAACAGGCAAACCTACACTTAGTATTTATTTAGAATATCTAGTATTTACAGTATCTAGTATTCTTCACAAATTCAGGAGTGGTGACCTCCGGGGAGCAAAGCGAGTGACCAGTGAACAGGAGGGAACAACAGGGGGACTTTGGGTGCTGGCAATTTCTATGTCTTGATCTGGATGGTAGCTACCCAGGTATCATATTGTAATTATGCATTAAATGCACACTTTGTTTTTAAGCACTTTTCTGTATGTGTAGTATATTTAAAAATATGCACACACAACACTCACACACACCCCTCAGAGGCTTTACACATGCTATTCCCTCCATCTGGAAAGCCCTCCTTCACACACTCCCAGCCCTCCCTCAGGCACCTTGGGAAGTCTCCACTGGTTCCTTGGGCCGATTCTGGGCTCCTTCTATTTATGCCCTGTCATAGACTGTAGCTATACCAAGTGCCTCATAGAAAGATCCTCATCTATTAAGGTCTCTGTTTATCCACTAGATTTAACAAGGGCCCTGAGATAGTGTCTTTTCATCTAAGCCTCTGTAGGTACCCAGCTCTTAACATCTCTTAAACATTCCCTGGGTTTTGAAGAAAAAGCATTTTAAAAACATTATTGACCTTATTTCTTCAGGAATTTTGCCTTAGCTTCTCTAGACTTTCTGTAGATAATATTCCCTTTCAGCAACCAACCAAAGGGAAAAATACTTAGATCAACCAACCATCAAAGGAGAAAATAATAACTAGACCATTTCAACATCATGTGAGTTTTGAAATTCTCTTATTTTCCATTGCAGACATTCCCCAGCTTTACTAAGAACAGTAAGCAGAATTAAAACTTCCGGGTTTTTTTAATTAAATGTTGAGCCAGCTACTTCCCCAGTCTCAGGGCTGCCTTAGGAAACCAGTGTTAACTAGAAGACAGCACAAGAACCATCTGTAGTAGAAAAGAATGCTACTACCCGGATGACGTACCCTAGCCTTACACCTTTCTTCTCCCCGTGCGCCAGGCTCCATTGACCTGTGCCAGCCCAACAGGCAGATCCCAATTTTCTGGCAGAGGATTGCAAGAAAGTACAGAGCACTGTCTATGTTCCGCCCTCTGGGCTTTTAAGGCAACTTTTACATCTTAGCACGGAAAGGTTAGGATCTTTCAACTCCTAAGTTGCCGCAATTGGTCTCAATTTTACATGATCTTCAGAAGATCATGAAAGAGAATTGTCCTTAAACTTCCTGATTGCTTTTCAGTACATTTCTGTTCTGAACTTTTCATAAGCCTGATTCTAGTTCACAAAGTACTTCATAAACCTCATGTTTCAATGCAAGGGGCAACGAAACCTCCAAAGAGTAGTGGCCATTCTGACACCTGCAGTCAGGCTAGGCAGTGTTGCCCTTCTTCATCCACCTACCCGCCTCTCCTCCCACAGACACAGACTCGAATACACAGCTGGGAAGGGAAATAAAAAGGTGTATCCCCACCTGTAGCTCAGTCCCTGGATCAGCTTGCTTCCCAACCGGTCCTGGATCATTTGTATGGTTTCTTGTAAGAGGCTTTTGGCTGCTGAATCTCCAACAGCTATAGCAACAATCCGTCCTGGCTCCTGGACTCTCAGAAACTCCTGAAGTCGCCTGCTTTCGTGGTGGTATTCGTGGGTATCAAACCTTGCAATTTCCAAATTTTTCGCCGTGTCTTGGTCAAAGACCCTCACGTTGAGGCCCCTGGAAAAGTCCTTTTCAAAGGCATAAGGCCTAAAGGTCAAGCCTGATGAATGCAGAGTTCTCGCCAACAACGTCCACGATGCTTTCTGTGTCCCGTGTACCTCCAGTGTCCCGCCAGCTTCCACACCAATAAATTTTTTGCCAAATGTTGGCATACTTTCACCTTCATCTGACTTGCCATACAAGACAATTGTCGCTTTGGATTTATAGCGGCATTTTTCTGCTCCAATATGAAGCGCCCCACCATCCTTGATCAGGATGTAACGAGTTCTCAAAGTAATATTTCTTGATCCATCTTTATCATCCCCAAAAACAAGCAGTCCTATATGGAACAACACTAGTGTAAGCCAACTTCTGAAACATCTTTCTGAGGTAGAGAGAGATTTCACCTTAAGAGGGGAAGAAAAATACTTCCGCAATTAAGGTAAGGAAAAAAACTGACTAAGAATTTGCTTAGAAGATTAAGCCTGTCTTCAAAACAGAGTAAAGGAAGAAGTGAAGAGTTCGTTTTCTCAGCACACTAAAAGTGCCCATGTTATACGAATTTCCAGCCTATGAAACTTTCAAATTCAATTTCTTTAATTCAAGTTTTATTACTTTAGAGGTAAATCATTTCTAGAAAAATATCTAAGAGCCTATTAATTCTGAATCTCATTTTTCCATATGTTAACACATGGTGAATTGTCTCATCACTCTCTGTAGTTGAAGCAAAGATCTAGCTGAGAGATCACCTTCTAAAACTGTTTCTTTTTCTATAAATTAAGGGTTTTGAGTGATTCATAAGGCCCTACTAGCTCTTGAATTCTATGGTTCTACCTAACAAACTTTTCATGTCTCTGTAGTTAGAATGATACCACATTCTAAAGGCTAAGAACAGTTTTCCATATAAGGAACATCAAATGTTTCCATGTAAAGAGCAACTTTGCAGTCCTCATAGAAAGGGACCATTATTTACCTCCGTCTTGAATGACTATAGAATTCACTGTGGCATCTGAGGTCAGACGGAACATATCTCCCTCCTTGATAACAACGTGTTTTCCCGAATCTTGTCCTGGATCCCAGTTCCTGAGACGGGGGTTCTGATCTGGGCAATTCTCTAGAAAAAAATACAACATCAATATCCCATCAACCCAACAAAAGGCAAGAATGTAGCCATGTGCAAGCACTTCCATCATTTACTACAATCTGCAGGTAAAGGGCTGACATATTTTAACTTCTTGCTATAAGGATGGAAATATCACTCCATCCCACCCAGCAGATATACATCAAAACCTTTACTACTTCCTCATCACACAAGAAAGGTAATGCCACCTTTTCTTTTTTTTTAGGTTAAAAATGTTTGAGTTAAAATTGCTATCATCCAGTTCAGGTCAAACTCTGCAAGGTAAAAATGGAGTTGCCATGAATCATCTACTCTGGAAATAAATCAACAGTAAGAGGCAAAAATGTGAATTATCCTTGGACCCACACTGGAAAGCTGTTTTAGAAAAGAAAACTTGTTCACAAGATACTGGTAAATAAAAAATGGAACTGCTAAGCAATATGTATATTAAGTTTTCGCAAGTTCCCTCCTATGCATAATGAGTCATAAAAGCAGCAATAATAGCCCCTTTCATTCCAAAGGCAGCAGCTGATAAATATTGCCATCTTCAGACATGTGCATTTTCCCTGCAAGGAGCAAATGGCCAAAGACATGCCTTCTCACTTTCAGAGATGAGGAATCTATAGATTAAAGAAGTCAAACCCAAGATTACTCAGCAAGTTGAGTGATATGGAAGTTCCCCTTTAAGAAATGAGGTTTACTTGTGTTCTTTACTAGAATAAGAATTTGCCTCTTGAATAGGTGATGATGAAAACATGGAAGTATTGGGCATTGCCACAAATACTTCATGCATGAAACCTTTAGTTTCTGCTATATTAGGAAAAGGGGAGCAGGGGAGCAGGGGGATCACACTAATTTTGATCAGCTAATGACCAAGTATTTATTGAGGATCAACTTGCCCAGTCTATACTAGATCCTGCAGAAGTTATAAAGGAGCTCGCAGCCCTCAGAGTGTACAATATAGCTTGGGAGAAAAAACCACCAGGTATGAAATCCCTAAATGCCGAACAGTGTGGCAGTTACATCAGGTGCAAAACAGCTCCGAGAGAGGACAGAGGCAGTTTGAGTGCAACAGAGCACACCAGACCTAGACCCCCAAAGTGCGGAGAGCACTTACATAAGAGGATCATGAAGGAGAGAGGAGAATACAAGGGACACAAGTATCCCTCACTCTGAGTCCATCTGGTTGCCAGTTGGAGCAAGGTGTAGCCAATAGTTGAAGTAAGCAAAGGTAGGGATGGGCAAGACACACCTCAGAATGGAATGAAGGTGAAAGGTCCATGTGGGGGAATAATATGAAAAAACATAGATGGACTGGGTGCAGCACAAAGATACTGCTTTTTATGGTTACTCTGTTTTATGGCAAATTCTGCCTCCTCATTTTGAACTTGCATAATGCTAATGCAAACATTATCTAATTTCTAAGCATTCATGTCCCCCAATCCTTGGGCTTTCTCTCTGAGGTAACAATAACTGCTGTACTAGTTAAAACTAGTCTCACTAGTTAAATCCTTGGCAATTACTTTGTGGAATTAATTTTTCACATAGCAGCTCCACAATTATTGATATCTGCTTCTTATAAACCAGTGATCATCACTATTATACTAAGAATAGCCGTTGAGAAAGCAGTACAGCACGGAGAAGACAAGTAATGACTACAGCATCTTACTACGCTGATGGACAGTGACTGCAATGGAGGTGGGGGAACTTGAGAGTGAATGTTGAAACCACAGTGTTGTTCATGTGAAACCTTCATAAGATTGTGTATCAATGATACTTTAGTTAAACAAAAAACAAAACAGAATAACTCGTCAGAAAAAGAAATCTCTTCAATTTGTTCAGAGTACTAAGGATTTCTTGAACTTTCTTCCTTCTATCTTCCTCTCATCCCATAAAATATCAGGCTAGAATGCTACATCACAAGCAGGATGCTACATCACAAGCAAAGGTATGCCCCATGTAAAAAGTACTGTACCCAGCTGCAGAGAAGGAAATTCAGTTTTCTGAGGTCTAGAACCTGCTGTTATCAGTTATGTGAGTCCTCTTAATTCTTTATAATTATTCCCCAGGAGAGCATGCTTCATTAGATTCATCACCAAATATTCTAGTCTGCTTCCTTCCAGGAAAGTACACTTAATGAGAAAATATGTGTTCAGCAGAAAACATCAAAAAATAGCTTAGCAGCCCCACCTTCCCAGCAACCCACTCGTTGAGCAGCGAGTGCATTATCTGAGTTACATAACAGTAACCACAGTGAGGCTGACCCTGAAATAGTTCAGCATACCAAATCTTTCCACTGAAATTCTGCAAATATACTGCCAAAATGTGAAACTAAAGAATGTTGATTCTAGGAACCACATCAGCGATTCAATGTCTTAGATGGAATATGAAAACACCAATTAAAGCCACAGATTTCAGCTCTGATTTTCCACTCAACGAGCATCCCTTTACTGCAGATTACTTGGAAAGAATGAATCAGCAGCAGGGAATCTGGCTATTCTGCTGGAGAAGAGAGAAAATGTCAATGCCATGTACAGTGGACAGCAATGTTTCAAGTTCATTATGTGGTCGACTGGCCTGGTTCGCAAAGATGCTGATATGAACATGTCTCTGATTTGACATCTATTCTTCTGGAAGTATTAACACTACCTGCCCCAGGAGCTCAGTCTATAAAACCTCTAAAGTATCCACAAAATATAAAGAAGATAATATTTGAAGTCTTATAAATGGGAAAATGTTTATTAAATGGTACCAATCCAGGTGGTTACGGTCTTCTTCTCCTTCCGCAGCCCTGAGACCTGCAATTTCTAGGCAGATGGATAGGATTCTATTACGATGCTATTCGTTGCTGGTACTATGGTGAAGCTGACTAACATCTTCAAGATCATCCTAAGTATTGATATGTTACCAGCCTAAAAAGCAAAGGCCATTTAGGGAATTAAAACTTCCTTACATAATGTTTAACCACGAAGTGATAAATGAGTTGTAGACCAATGTGGTCAGAACCTATACTTCCTCAGGGATGTTCTCCTTTAAGGATATACGCTGTTCCTCAAAAATATCTGAAGCTTCTCTTAGAACTGCCTCCCCCTGCCCATTTTAAACCATAGACACAAACCTTATTATTTTTCACTTCCTTTTTAAAGATCAAATGTAGTTTCTCATAACATTTAGTGATTTTTAGCACTAAAAACTTCTGGCATTCTGAAAATCATACTTACCACAAAGAACAAAATTGTGCTACCACAGGAATTCAATAAAGACTCTTAAAATTAGCATTCTGAAAAGAAATGCTCCAGGAATGACCTAAGCACAGGATGAAGTGGCAAATGGTAAGTAAAAGCAGTCCTTTAATTTTATCATTTCCAATGGATTCCTTTAACAATTGCTCTCATTTATAAGAAGTTACACCTAATATTATCTCATTATATATTAGTTAGCTAGCACCAACGTAGATAACAAAAGGTTTTTTGTTTTTGTTTTTTTTTTAGTTTTATTCTTCTGCTCCCTTCCCTTCTTTCTTCTAGAATATGCCTTACTGATGCACAGGCATACACACACACACTTACCATCTGGGGCATATTTGGAGGATATTCCTAAAATAACTGCAAGTGCAACAAAAAATGAGAAACTAGTAATAGCAAAGCAAATGAAAGTATTCTTGTGCCTCTTCTGCTTCCGGCTGTCTCTCTGGGCTTGATGCTCCTCAGGTGAGAAAGCAAAGGTTGCCCTGGGTTCCTGTCTGATGGAGGTAAATTTGGCTGAAGCTTGGCTCTTTGGAGGAGGAGGGGGACGCAGCGGGACAACCTTCCCCGGAACATAGCCAGATGAGCGATGGCTGTTTCCATTCTGAGGTTGCAGGAAAGCAGGGGAGTGTCCCCTGGAATCAGTGGCATGCATGATACACTGTCACTGAGAAAAGAAAAAACAAATAAATAAGGTTCAGAAATGGGAGAACTGTAACAGCTTCTTTTTGCACATAAGATAAAATTTAACACTGTAACTATTTTCAAGTGTACAATTTGCTGGCATTAAGTGTATTTGCAAGGTTGCACAACACCCCCCCCATGCATTTCCACAACTTTTTCATCACCCCAAATCTGTAACCATTAAGCAATAATTCTTCATTTCCCCTTCCGCCCAGTCCCTGGTAATCACTGTAATAACTTTTTGAAAATAACAAGTCTGGTTATATCCCTGTCAACAATCACCTTCCCTAAGCATCCTCTAATCACTGCACATTATAATCCCTGGATTTTTATATCTTTAAAACATAGCTTGGTGATAATGAAGTGGGTGGTCACAGTTCTTCAAACTGAAATTAAAGTCCATGTGTCATAGAAGGATCACATGAGAGCCCCAGTGAAGTTGTAATAGACAAGCACTCACTATTTAGGTGTTTCATTTCTTCATTGGATTTATCCCTTGGTGAAGCAATTTAAGTATTTCTATTGGCATTATCACTTAACTATAGACTATAAATTCATTTAGTAAGGAAGTCTTCGTAAGTCTGTATTATCTTGCTAAAAAAGAGACAAGCCCAAAATGGAGCCACCTGTGCTAAGCCCACATCACCTTACAGACTTACTCCTAACCTAATTGTAGTTTCAGGCTTTCTCAGCAATACGACTTTTAACCAGTCAATCTCAGCACTAGTGAGATAATCTGCCTGGTAGACCACCCTCCCACCCCCCTTATCCCTAAGCTTTCCCTTTGCCAAAGGAAAGTGACCTTGCCTGAAACAATCCACTCTTTGATAGAAACTTCCTTTTCCCACCGCCTGCTGCCTATAAAAGCCTTCTATTTTGCAGAGCTCCTCAGAGCTCCTTTCTATCTGCTAAGATGGGATGCTGTCTGATTCATGAATCATTAAATGAAGCCAATCAGATCTTCAAATTTACTTCATATGAATTGTATGTTCTAATAATCACTTTACATCCTCAAATTTTGTTTACAAAGTAGTAGGCATTCAAATAGTATGGTTTAGATGATAAAGAAAAATACTACCAGGCCCTGCTCGAAACACCTTACATGTATTAACCCATCTAATACCACAGATCTATGAGTAGATGCCATTAACCCCATTTTACACATGAGACCTGGAAAGGCTAATTAGCTAGGATGTAGGAGAACCAGAACTTGAACCCAAGTATTGTGATACTAGAGTTCAGACTCTTAACAATTATACTGATGTCTTTCAAAACAATTGAGAGGCAATAATTTTTGGGAGTCAGTTTCGCAAGGGTGTAACTTTCAACTGTGATCAGTCTGAAAGGGTACATTAAGAGTCTCTGGCATTCTTCAGGCGGCAATTCACTAGACTATACATGAGTCTCCCATGAGTAAAAAAGGGCAGTCCTTTTTACTTTTTATATTCTTCATAGCAAACATTTCTAAGTTTTTGAATGAAAGAATAAGTTTTAAAGGAAACCTTACTGTTGTTACTTTGCCAAATTAAAGGAAAGGAGGGAGGAGGGAAGGAAGGAAACAGCCTATGCATATAATGTTCTCTTTGCAGTGACTGGGTAAATAAGATGTCCTCCAAGGCTTCAGAAACATGCTGTTCAGCCTCTTCCATCACCTCTTCCTTAACGACTAGAGCATCTCAAGAGTCACCTGCCTTCATTCAATACCCTTGTATTTCCCCTCATCTTCCGCCAGAATGAATAAAGATCCTAGTCAAAAGGGTACCTCCAAATTGCTCTAAACTACAGCAAATCCGTTAAATACAAAATGTGGTCATTAGAGAAGCCACAAATAAGCATTCCATGACCCAAAAGATCTGGAAACGAACGGGATGCAGAAGTGAATCTAATCAGGAATTGACGCTGATTTTACATGGGGCAGAGAACATTCTCAGACTTGGGGTGTTTGTCAAAAGCAGTTCTGTGGAGTCCGATTTCTGAACAAAAGTAATTATTGAGATAAAGCTTAAACTCCATGACAAAGAGAAAACAACATGATTCGAGGTGCTATTAAAGAAACTGCTGCATGAGCCAAGCAGCAGAATGAAAAAATGGATCCATCCTGCTGGAACAAAGAGTACAACAAAGACCCCTTTATGATGGTCTATTAACAAAGAAAGGAATCAAGTAGATGATCTCGAGTGCCAGACTCGCAGAGTAGGAGGGGAATCCCGACTACAATCTGCCCTGAAAAGGAGTGGGAATCCTTTGTCTGAAGCTGCACTCATCTGATACTTCATTGTTTCCGGGTGAGAAAAGTCGTTACGTAACAGGCTGGAGGGCCCTTTTGTGGGAGATAATGTGTCTCCAGATGTTCCCACAATAAAATAAAAGGCAGTGAGAAGCTTAATGAAGCCACCATCCCACTGGGAATAATTTGTGTCTTCACATTCACCAAATAGTATATATCCTAACATGAAAATTCAGATGGTGTGTGGCACACACAGAAATGGTCAGTACATGAAAAATAATCATGGCTGTGTTTCCCCCCTAAACCTTCTGCAAAACCATACATACCTATGTATATGTACACATGCTCTCAGCCCATTAGCTCTCTTTTACTGAACATGAAAATGCATAAGCAGTAAATTCAATCACTTTTCCTAAGTGATATGTTGTTGGAACCGTATCTTAGAATGCAATTACAACCAAAAATCCTATTTTATGCAGATTTCCCTCTCAATTTATCACAATTTTTAAAGAAACAAACATATCACCTTAAGATTTCACTTAACATTTATGAGTTTACTTTAGGAGTAGTATTATGAAACAATTAATTAAAAACTTAAAAATCAGTTACTTAAAATATGATGAATGTATTTTCAATGAATATATTGAAATTATTCATAGAAAAAAACTGACATTTCATTCAATAAGCAACTGTGAGCTCTTGCAGTCCTTAGAGGATTATGTGGTGGGAACTAGGGGAGATAAAAGACTTACAGCGTCCCCAAGAAATGGAATTCCTATTTCAATGTTAAGTCCCTTGCATGAAGGCATCATGTAACTCACCAAGGAAATACTGTGAAAATGGTGGTCAGGTTCCGAGACTATCTCAGCAACGGCCATTTAATCCATAAGGGTGCTAGTACTTGTGACACTGGTGTGAGTTTGGGGTCCTGAGAACAAAGGAGGGAGGCTAACAGACGAAATAAGAGAGCTTTCTCTGACTTCTAAGACTTCAAGGTGAGTATTAGGTGTCATTTAAAAATTTTTACTACAATGTATTTACTTACTACACTATTAATTTGTTTACAGTATAGGTCATTTTAATATTTTAATTTTTTTAATTACATGTGATTTTTTAAAAGGGCTGTATTTCTAGTGGAAATCACACAGCACTATGTAGAAGGGACACATCAGTATTTTATGATATATTTTAAGAACTGTTACAGCCTGAGCTACCCCCTTCAACACCCAAATAGTCCAAATGGGGGGTAATCCAAGTCATAATAACTTTGGAAATGCACTCCACAAACGTTCTGAGGCATAATTTTTTGGTATTGAGATGTTCCTTGAAAGACTTATCTTGTATTCGGTTACTGGATTGATAAAAAATGGTAGCCCAAAACGACTGGTTAATAATTAATTGTTTAAAAAATAAAATCAAACAATTAAAAATTTGCACAGGGAATCCAGGCAAATATTTAAAGTAGATAATGAAAGAGATTACTAAGAATATGAAAACATCATTTTAACTGAAAATATATAAATGCAAATGCTGAAAAAAGGGGGGAAGTAGTCAAAGTCTAGTACTTGTCTAATTCTCAGTTGCCTTCACACACACACACACACACACAGACAAACCTTCAAAACAAACTGTTATCTTAAAAGAAAATTCTCTTGGATAACAAGAGTGTATAACTCAAATTGTAACTCAAGATGGAAGGGGCTTATAGAGTTGGTAAGTGCATTCAATTAACTTATTTAGCAATAAATTAAGTAATCACATAAAGTAATTTATTTTTAAATTTCAGTAAAGGAGCAGAGTTGTTGGGGTTTTTTGACCTATAAAAAGGGCACGTTTTTAAGAAAATTGAGATATTTTCATTTAAAGCTTCCAAACACTGCCCTATCTCATCCATGAAGCTTTCTCTGGATTCCACAGGAAGCTTCTTGCTTCTCTTTCCTTGTTCTCTTTAAAAACTGTTTTAAACTCTTACTGGATTGTCTTTTGCTTTATGTTTCAGTTAAGCTATGTCCATTTCCTGCAGTTAGTTCACTATAAGCCTCTGGAGAACAGGGATATCTTAGTCATCTTGTTATTTTCACAGGACCTTAACACATAGTAGGTGCTCACTAAGAGCTTTTTGAACTTAGATTACAGTATTCCTCTGTGTATCTCTTTGTTCTCTCTCTCTCACACACACACGCACTGCAATTTCCCACTTAATCCTTTTTCAACATCTTTGAGTCTCTGGGAAATCTGTCTCATCTCTCTGTATCAATTGCCTTGATTTGGGAAAAACTGAGGACATTTACTACTTCAAGCAAAAAAGGTCAATGCATTAATCTTTACAAAAATGCAATCCTAGTACGCAATCTACTGGGTGACTGACTAAAAGGTACTATTACCAATCGCAAACAGGAATTGTAAAGATAAAGAGCAACAAACTATCTGGACAAGCTCAACCTTTCTAAGTATTTCCTAATAGTTTTAACACAATATGAAATGCAGCAGGCACATAGGGAAGAGGAACACATTTCATTCCACTTTATATTGTTATGCTGACAGCCAATAAATGCTGTGATCAAACGGCAGGTCTTGTCAATACAGAGATAGCAGTAGTAATTCAAAACGAGGAAGAGCTGTTTAAGAGGACTGAGTTTTCTTGTTCTTTCTCCTGCTGAGATGCTAATACAGAAGACAAACTGCCCACCAGTACTCATCACTTGGGCAGTGGTGGAGAACAGCTGCATCGTAGGCCATGGGCTCAGCACCAGAAT